GCAATGACTCTTCGGACATGGTGACGCTTCGAAAGGCTGAGCTCTGCGACCCCTGACGACTTCCTAATGCTGAAAAGTACTCTGTTGACGCTGAAGATGAGGCGATTCTGCCGGCCGTCTGACCCAAGACGCCGTCTGCTGCAGCGCCGCCGGTCATGACCACGGCCTCTGCGGCCTCGGCACCTACCGCAGCGACTTCAGCAACTTCAGCGCCAACGACGGCCGCGCCCCTGGCGGCTGACGCGGCTGCACCCATGATAGCGATGACGATATACTAGTCGTGGCGAGCGAGGTCGGAAGTTGAGAAGCTGTCACCTATTCATGAGGTGTGAAGTGTTCTGGAGTGCAAAAGTATGCGTGGGAGAAGTGGCTATTTATCCATGAGTCGCGCTGGCCTCACAGAGCAAAATGTGGTTCAGATGATGGTATTACGGAACACCGCCTCTGATCGTCAGTTCAAATTACTCGCCGTCCTCTATTCCACATTTGTTAATGACGCAAAACCTGGAAGATGAAGGCCTATCCAAAGGAACATGAGCTGGGCAGTGCGGGATTTCCAAGTTGATGCGGCCAGTTCCTTGAGGTCCTCAACTTAGTTGCGATGGGTACCAAATTCCTCGAGGCGAACCAAGGCTGGGCACTCCTTTTCTGAAGACAAGATTTGCTTTCACGTAGAGTCCTCGAAAAAGTAAAAGGCTCAGACTGGACTTTGCTGACAGAGTTTGTGTGTTTGGGATTCAACCGTTGGCTCTTGTGTGGCTATGCGAGGCTGCGAGCCGCAACCTCTGCGCATCTCAAATGAGATATCTCAGCCTGCACCCTGTATGGTTAGACAAAGTCTCCAAGACCTCGACTGACTTTGTGATCATCCTGGTTCATGTCTATCAACCAGCTTTTCGAGGCCATCTCGTCTTATTGCTGATGTCTAACCTTTACGTGTACTCTATCCGTCACGATCGACAGTGCCATTCCAACGCCCACAACCAAGACACCGTGCCATGGTCTATCGCAACTCTATATCCCAGTCCCCATCTCCCCCAAAAGTTCTAGCCATTTGTAGCTTCGAGAATCGATCTATCCATCCATTTCTACCCGTCGATCCCTCAACCTTTCATTACACCCCAGAGTCAAAAGACCTTTTTCGCTTTGTAGGGTTCGAGCATGAGTGAGTCAGTGAGTGAGTGAGTCACAGCTTGGAGGAGGGTCCTTCTTCTGACGGCGGAGGCGGCGGCGGCGGGGGACGCAAAAAGACCTTGTCGTGCAGACACGTCACGCAGACCTTGCCGTCGACCAGCATCTCGCCCTTCATGTTGGCGAGGGTCCTCCCCGCGGCGACAAGCTCGCAGACGACCCTGACGGTGGCGCCCTCGACGATCGGCCGCAGATACGTCATGTTGATATTGCGGCTGACGTGACCGAGGTCCATGAACCCGGGCCTCGCCGCGGCGATCAGCGCCGTCGTGGTCAGATTGTCGAGGATGGTCGCGGCCGCGCCCCCGTGCAGCTTCCCGCCCTTGTTGCACAGGTGCGGGAGCACCTCGAGCTCCCACTCCGTGCGGCCCGCGGAGACGCAGACGCAGCGCACGTTGTCCTTGAGCGCGTAGGCGTCGAAGCCGCCGAAATGGGGGTCCTCGAGAAAATTCTTCTGGAAGTCGAGCACCCGCTCCTTGAGCGGGAGGCTGAAGTCGATGCCCCGCATTACGTAGCGCGGGTCGACGTCGGCCGCCGCCGATGCGTCCGGGCGCATCGGGTCGTAGTGTGCAGAGGAGCTTTTGGTAGAAGTGTCAACAGGTGAGCCGAGCAGGTGAGCGAGATATCAAAGGGTGGGTGGATTTCTTAGTGAATGGGAGTTTATGAGGAGCTTACATTTTTTGTTGGTCGGTGGTTGTTGTTCTGGCGGCCATTTCTATTGTTTGGTGGTGGTGGTGGTGTGGTGGCGGCGGTGGTGGTGTAAACCCAACAAACGATATGTGATATGCGATATGAGATTTCGTTTCGACGCACCAATAAAAACGTGACAAGGCCCGATGCCGTTGAGAAAAGTGGTGCGTGCCTACTAACTATTAGCTACCAGCGATTTCGGGGGCCACGATCGGCCTTGGAGATACAAATATGTATGTACAGTTTGAAAGAGATCCCCACGCGGCAAAAAAAAAAAAAAAAACGTCGACTGGCTGAATCGTCTCGTGGATGGGCAACTTGATAGTGTCTAGTCCGTCAAACGGTGTATACCTACCTACCTACCTAGTCGTGCACAGACAGCCAAGGATAAAGGGAATGTTCTAGCCGAGTCAATCTGGACATGTCAACCGTCGAAGAGCGCTGTTCCTCGGCGATTGACATTTCCGTTACGACGATGGACTTGACTTGATCGAACAATAAGATCTCTAGGTTGCAAATTGGGTGCTTGGTAGCTTGTTGAATGCTCCCCTACAAGTCTTCTTCTCTCACCAGGACTGGTGACCGTAGCGAGGATCAATCACCATTCACCATTACGAGGCATTGTTTTTCTTTTAGACTTACATCGGAGATACCTATAATTGCAGCTCTATACCTCGCCAACTTCCAATCCCTCGACATTCACCATTCCGACACATGTCTAGTATGTCAGGGCCATGATCGTCTGTAGCTGTGGCTAAGTCTGTGCTGTGCTGTGCTGTGCTTTGCTTTTGTTGTTTCTATTCGAGACTTAAGAGATGCGGGGCCGTTGTCTGTGCTCGCCGTGTTTAGCAGGCTACTTTCTGGTGGTAAGATGGTGATGACGGCGGGTAAGCCGAGAGATACCGCGGCTCAATATTCCCCATTCGTTACTTACAGCCTCGCCTCGGCCTCTTCATCCTGCTGCCCCCTTTTTATCACCAAAGTATGTACCCGTCACAGAACACGACACGGCCGAGGATATCTACGTAGGTATGACTTGAGCACTGCGAAAGTCTTGGGACATTTTCCCATCCAGGGGGAAGTCACCCTCAATTTCTGAGTGATGACCAGGGATTGAGATTGTTGACAGCCAAGAGAGACACACACACATATCCCTGCGAGTAGTCGGTGCAAGTCAGTGAGTTCATTTATACTTTAGAAGGCATGCAGGTCTACGTTTAAATGAATGGAATGTATTTGAAAGTTCCGATCTGTAGCGACTCCATCGTGGCCATCTGGGTGACTTCATGAGGAATGAGGAGTGAGGAGCGAAGGGGCATGTACGTGTGTGCTGTGTCATTTCCCAACACATGGGATATCTCCCAGGCAGGTAGACAGTCGGGCAGGCAGGCATGGACACTGGTAAAGATTCAAATACCAAAAATATCAAAAGATCAACGAGCATACTAGTGTAGATCCAATGGGGGCCGCCACGTTCCCCGGTGGGATACCATACGGGAATAATATACCGAGTGTATTGGATGCCCCTTTTCCATGTCGTGAGTACATACATATGGAGTGACTCTGTAACAAACGTCCTCGTGCTCGTGTCTCCCTGCACCAACAGCCCCAAATGGGGCTGCTGGTGTCCTCAGTCCTTTCAGATACTCGTGACTCGGAGATGACGTGAAAGGGGCACTGGTGGGGGAGTATGATTGTTGTTATTGAATGAGGTAGGGAAGAGAATGGAAGCAATCACGAGATGAGACTGAGATTGAAGGAGTGATAGTACAAGAACCAGTATGTATACCAAGTCGTACTCAGCATAAACAAAGCTGTCGATTCCGTGTTGGTTGGTTGATTGGACATGATGATCACATACAAGTCCTGTACTCGTCAAGGTAAAGGTCTGACCGGCTGGTGACCACCTTTGTCTCGCTCCTCACTCAACTCGTCAATCATGCAACCGCCATGATTCATGATTCATGATTCATGATTCATGATTCATGAATTAAACTACCTGTTACCCCAATGCCCCTTCAGCACAAGGACATATGTAGGTACTCGTATGTGGGGTCCCACCACGGAGCAGGCGGGGGATCTTCTCTGACAAACGACAAACCTGAGCATGGGTCCAGGGTATTCGTACGGGTACTCAGTACTATACTTAGAACTTAGTAACAAGTACCCATGAGTGGGTAGGTACCGAATAGTTAGTGCACACCTACGTACTGTACCTACGAGGTAGGTCGTAGTGCATATTCAGAGTTTACACTTGTCAACACCCACCCACAATGCCACGCGCACACCCACACACGCACACAAACGGACACGCAAGCCAGGGTTTCCCCAGCGCAATCAATGCGAGATTGCCTATCACCCTACCAACCTATCGAGTACCTCGTACAAACAGTGTAGTACCACCTCGAAGTCGGAAGCGAGCACAACCACGAGTCAGAATCTCGCTTAGGCGCGAAGCCTTCTTTCCGTACCTACCTTTTGTTCCTAACAGGTAGATGGAGCGAGTAGGTAGCGAGTACGAGGTACTACAATTACGAATACCAGGAAAGAGTACCGTTGCCACTGTTCCACAGTACTTGATTTTTATCCTCGAATTCTCTCCAAGCACCTCCTTCTAGGTTCCCAGGTAGGCTACACTCTCGCATGGAACTACTGTAGGTACGAGCCGCCCTTGCGGGTTGGAGTGGATGACTAGAAAAGCCGTGGCATGCAGCTAAGCTGGTACTTGCAGATTTCTGCCAGGGCCAGGGCCTGGGCATTTTAGCCGCGGTACACGAGGTCTCGTACTCATCGAAGGATTCATTGTGCTTGTGCTCGGTAGGTAGGAGACACACTGGGGTCATGATAAGGCCTGCATACCTGCATACCTACGTCCATCTGTACCGAGTACTCCTACACAGACAAACACTGGTCTAGACAAAATAACTCATGTGCCAGTTCTCACAATTCGTAGATGACTTGAGCACTCAAGAAAAAAAGTGTGTATTTATGGTCAATAATGTGCGTTCATTCATTGCCCATCCCCCCTCGTCCTCATTATATTATATAAATTGTTTGAGACTATGTTATCTTACGCGTAAATCTTTCATTTTTTGCTAGTTGATGTCTTCTTTTCCCCTTTATACTACAACCAGGATGGCCAGGCCCAGCAAAAGGACCAAGCCCATGTTGCTGGTGTGGCTACTGGCCGAGCTGTCCGTAAAGGTCGACGAGGGCGCAGAGGTCGTTGCGCTGGTCGCCACGGGGCCGGTGCTGCTGGGAGCACTCGTGATGGTCGCGGCCGCAGTCGCACTGCTGGATGCGCCACTGCTGGCGGTGGTCGTGAGGGGCGCCGAGTGACCGCTCGACACGCCCGACCTGGAGGCTGTTGTGGTGCTGTTCAACGCGGTCGAATTGACGGCGGCGAAAGCAGGCGTCGACACGCTCGGACACGAGATGGACTCGGTCGTCACCGACGCAAGTGTCACAACACCCGACGGCGTGCCGGTTCCGACAGTCGCATAGTCTTGCGCGGTACCACTGACATACGTGGCGATCGAGGTAGTAAAGTCCGAGTTGTCCGTGATCGAGGCGACCGACTTGATCCACGCAGCTGCTTCGTCCGAGTAGACGTTGTAATAGCCAAGGTGGGACGCGACGATGCCGTTGGAGTTGTTGGCGCAGATGGGGTCAACCTGAGTACCGAAGAATGTCAGTGAAAAAAAATGATTACAGCGATTAAGCATGCTCTCCAAGACTCGTAGACAAAAGAGTCCAACAACAATTGGGCCTGTCACTCACATCCAGACACCAGTCACGAGTAATGGCCGCGTATGCGTCGAGAGCAGTCAACATGTCACCGGACCGGGGGAAGAGACCGTCGCGCGAGGAACCATTGCCATAGTTGTAGGGCTGGTTGGCCGTATGGCGGGTATTTCCAAACGTGATGACCGCCGACACTGAAATGTTCATGTTAGCATACAAGCCATATCCAAACAAAGCAACCACGCCATTACTCACATCGATTTCCGGGGCTGGTGGTAGGGTCCAATGGAGGAGTCGACGGCTGGATACATCCATTGAAAGACACGCCACCTCCACCACCGAGAATGTCAGTCACGATCTGTGCTCCCTGCGAGTATCCAGCCAGGATGAGCTTGGAGTTGGGGCATCGGTCGGCATAGGCAGTCATCTGCATGAAACCCGCAATCGTGCCATCGTAGGTCGTCTGACAGGACAAGTCGGTGTAGAGAGCCGAGTAGATGAGATCCTCGTAGCCGCAGTTGGCCACGTGGTCGCAGGTTGCGGCTACCAGATCACCCTGTCGTCCCGGGTAGGGCTCATTGTTGCCACGGGCGAGAAAGAAATGCACATCCTCGCAGGGTGTGCAGACTTGTGCAAGCACCTTTGACGCCGACCAGAGCGAGAGAATGGCGCAGGACGCCGCAAAGGAAACCATGATTGCCAAAAGCAAGAAAGATTGCAGAAACGACTGTTTATTACTGAGGTTGCTAGAGATGCAATTAAGAGAGAGAGCAACAACATTGAAAAGCAGTAGGAACCGGACAAGATAAGGGAACTCACTCATTGGAGCTGGTACTTGGCCGGCGGACGGCGTCGAGGGATCGTGGCCGCGCTAAGTTTTTGGTCAAATGCCCAACTTCTGAGACACTGTGGGACCTCGATCGTGCGGTCTTCTAGAGGCTTGACAGATTCGACACGGCAGAAGCGGATGGTCTCGCTTGCGTCGCTTGCGAGCTTGTTGTTGGTCCCTGTTGGGCCCGTGGTTGGGGCGGATTTTTCTAGCGGTCGATTTACCTCATCGCCGGCTTTCCCGAGCCCATTCTCCGCTTTGTTTTGTCTTTTTGCCTTTGTGCCTCTCATGATGGGTATTTTGAAGAAACACAGCGCGGTATCCTGCCGAATGAGGATCTTCCGCAGTTTTGTCCTCACCTTTTCTTTCTCTTCCAATAATGGTATGATTCATCGACATCATCACAAGTGCGTCTATTGACTGTGCCTGTGGCGGCGGCAAATTCTAAAACAGCAAATGCGATTTTCTTGTTCGCGGTGACAAGTTTCTTGTGCGGGGGGTGTCTCGCCCAGATCCGCCCTCAGTATGGTCTTATAGATATCGTCACTGCGATTGCTCCTAGGCTAGCAAGCAATGCCTCGACACAGCACCTCCATTGCACTCACCGAGCTGTCTGCTTGACCGTCGCCGTGCCCTAGCCAAGTTACAGCGAGGACCGATAAACCTCCTTCGGTACAAAAGCATCGGACGATCGTGGAACGAGTCTGTTTGTCAACAAGAGGAGGATCTGCTGGTCAATACATGATAAGATGAACCCAGGATCGTTCACGCGAGAGTTCCTGTACCTGCGTGGACAGGTTCACAATGGCAAACGGGCGCATGCGAAGTGACAAGAATGAAAGACTTGGCGAGATTGTACCGAGTACAGTCAAGAGCTCCCAACACTAGAGAACAGACCACCCCCAGAAAATACTTTAGACATATTCAGGGCAAGCTGTACGCTGTTGGATCTCTCGGTCTGCTGGTGCTATAGCTATGCTTGACTTTGACTTGTCTCATGGACTCTCATCTCCTTGGAACGCAACGCACCCAATTTTCCCTTAGCCGCCGCATTGCGCAAATGGTCTCGAAAGTGTTCTCGAAAGTGTTGGACCAGCGCACTGTGGCATTTGGGCCCTATCCATCCACCTTGTACCGAGCGGTGTGATAACAATACTACACGGCTGTGGTAAATCGAACAGGCCCATCATTTACAAGTCCCAGCTCTAAGCCGCCTCATCCTCGATTTCTAGGTTTCCAATCTTAAACTTCTTCCCGCGCATGTCGGCATAGTCCGTGTGGTTGTGATAATTCTTGACCCTTTCTCTGACATATTGCAGACCCGTAATCGGCGCGGCGTCCTCCTGGTCCTCCCTTACTAAACCCATTCGCTTTAGCAAAGGCGACGCGACGGGCTTGATGTCGACATTGTCCCCAGGCCTGACAAAGTAGAACAGGCCCAACCGGTCAACGTGCGTCTGGTCGGGCGGGGGTCGAATCACTCTGTGCGTGGTGGACTTGAAGTACCCGGCAGACCAGAAGTCGAGTGTGTCGCCCACGTTACAGATGATGCCGTTGTCCACCGGCGGCACGTACTTCCACTCCCCAGACTGCGTCTTGATCTGCAAGCCCGCGACGTTCTGACTCCAGAGCAGCGTCAGGGACCCAAAGTCCGTGTGAGCGCGACTCCACGTGTTCTCGACCAGGGCGTCTTCCTCGACGGACCGGGGATGGTAGGTCATGTACCTCAGGTGGTCTTCGCTGGGTGAATCGTATTCGTGCTTGGACGAGAAATAGTCTTCGGGCAATTCAAGAATGATGGAGAAGAGAGTGAAGATCTTGCTGGCGATGCTCAATGCTTTCTAAGGGCGAGACGTGTCAGAAGTCTTTACATCCACTGCGGGTTCTTTAGACCTGGCTCACACGAGAAAAGTCCTCAATCTCCGTTCTGTACGTGTCGAAGAACGGATGCCGCGCTTCGTTGGCGTACTGGGGGATGAATTTCGCCAGGTTGAACGACTCGACAATGTCTTTGACCTCGGTGGACATGATCTTCTTCTCATATGGCTGAAGGCGTCGTTTAGCTCTAGTCAATGTGGATGGATGGACTGTTCACCTTACAGCACGGTACCCGAAATAGTTCCCCACGGAGAAATCACACTTGTATTCGGGTTTGTCCTTTTCTTCAGCGGGAAGATCGAAAAAAGCCTGTCCAATGTTATATTGTCGTTGGACCTCTTCCTCGCTGAGTCCTGTGCCCGTCACGCTGAAGAAGCCCGTCTCGTGCACCTACATACATTATACATCACACACGGTTAAGAGTCGTCGGAAAACCAGGAGTCCAAACTTACAGCCTTCCTCAACTGTTCCGCGAGCCGTTGCTTCTCGCCCGGCTCATCGTACCTTGACAGGTCAATGACTTGGATATCCGCCCAGGGCAGCTGGAACGCGGTCTTGGCAGGGCGCTGCCATTTCCGGAGCGGTGGCGCCGGCGCCGGGTCGTTGGCGATTACGGCGGAAGGCATGGTTTCGCGGCTTTAAAAGTTTCGAGTCCCTCGCACGGAACTTTTCTCTCATGAACATATATTTCACCACCCCAGATTCGGCGAGCGTGATATTATTGTCACCGTTATTCCTCTCCATGATGTACTTGTATGTAGTTGCAAGAAGGTATCCAGAACCCGCGATCACGCAATCCGAGCCTGGTATGATGTCGACTTGCCCCACACAAAGTCATTGGTCTGCCATGGCCTGCTCAACCCCAGGTCGACTTGGTTGTCGATCAACTCAAGCATTTTTACGAAGGAAAACGGGGAGATCTCCGATACGAGGACGAGGGGTATATATCGATCTGTTGGCTGACTGAAATATCTCAACATAGCATGTTGGAAAACCCCCCAATCTCGTTCTATACGAGGTATGGACACAGCCAGTGCGGACATAATGTAACTGTCTGATGAGACTCAGTCTCAATTCTCTCAGTGCTGTTGTCACAATGCATCTATCTCATGGGCAACATATTACGGAGTTACTAAAAGCAATACAACAACCCAGTGTGCCCGAGGTTTATGTGAACCCAGAGGATTCAAGGTTTACCCGGTTTCCCAATTTACGAGTAACAGAGTATCTGCCGTCGGTTTACATCCTGCCGTTATTCTCCACATATCCCAAGTCGAGCCTGGTGGTGGAGTTTCTCGTCTTGTCTATTGAAAAACATAAACGCCTAGTTGAGTGTGGAGCAGTTGGTGATAAATGCTGGAGTGACCAAATCCGGCTAGCCTGGTTACTTTCCCACCTGCATACATTGGTCACGAACAAGTAATAGTTCGATACGCATAGCCTCGCTAGGTAGATAGGGCAATAACTCTCAAGGCAGAAACGTCACACATTTCGAGACTCCGGATTCATGTTCGACATCTTTTTAACACAGAAGAGTAGACACCCTCGGCAACCGATCAGAGGCCTTTTTGGTCAGGATTCCGTCCGAAACGATATAGTACCCCCAAACCATATTATAGCCACCCACAGCCTGACTAGAACTTTTGGGAGACTCAAAATGTAAGGTCGGGTGCCTTTTCGGTATTTCTCTGCTTCTCCTGTCTGTGGCTTCGGGCTCAATACTTACTACTCGGTGTAAAGATGTCCTCTTTTTGCCCTCGAGCGTCAGCAACACTCACACACACACGGCTCCCGGGCATACTCAGCGAAACGCGATAGAATTGCAAAAAAACTCACCTAGAATCTTCTTCTCTTCCGGCGTCATGCTCAAGCGCGGATCATTGCCCATGATGTCCTTCAGATGGCGCTGGTACCCGCTCTCGACCTCGCGGTACTTGCCGCCATTGATGAAGATGGTGCTGCCGTTGTAGTCGTCGTTGGCGCACAGATATACCGCCGCCAGGGCACACTCGTCGCTGGTGTTCATGGGGATGACGCCGCTGTTCCACAGCTTGGGCACCAGGTCCGGCAGGGTCCGCAGGGCGGGCGTGTCGGTGATGCCCGGCGCGATGCTATTGATGCGGATGTTCCACGTCGCCGTTAGCGGGCGCAGCGCCCGCATGAGCCCGACCATTCCATGCTTGGCCGCCCCATACACGGGTATGCTCTCGGCGACGTACCCGGCCCGCGACACGGTCGACACGATCACGCCCCCCTGCGGCTGCTGCCGCCGCATGTAGTGCATCGCCAGCTTGACCGTGTACATCTGCCCGATGAGCGTGACGTGCAGGCACTCGAAGCGCGGCTTGACCGGGTCGCCGTGCTCGTCGACCGTGTCGAAGAAGTCGCCCTTGTCGCCGATCCCGGCGTTGGGGATCACAATGTCGATCCGGCCCCAGTCGCTGACCGCGCGCTTGAACAGCGCCATCAGGTCCTCCCACCGGCTCGTGTCGGTCTGCATGAATCCCACGCCCGCCACGGCTTCTCTCAGAGGTTGCACATCCCCGACCAAGACCTTGACACCCGACGCGACCAGTTTCTGGACGATGCTGAGTCCGATCCCCGAAGAGCCACCCGTGACAACGGCCGTCTTCCCGCGAAGCTTGTCGCCTTTTGTTTTGTTTCGACATCTCGTGTTAGCTGTGTGGACATGATAGCACTGGATCGACAATAGACTGATCCCCCCTCACGGCGAAGTGAAGAAAGGGTATTTACTCACCTATATCGGCGTCCGTGATATTGAGGTCCGTCATCGTCCGTGGTCGACCTCACAGTCTTGTCACCTGTTCACTTGTGGCGATTCCTTTCTTTGTCCCGGTGAGCCTCCAAAATCCAGGGAGATTTCCCCTCTACCCATATGGGATTCCTCATTCTTGTATTCCCCGCTTTCCGGGGGGAGACAAGTCGATCCCCTGGTGATACCAAAACAGCCAGCTTCGACCTCGGGCCGAATTGGATCTATTCTGGAGGGTTTCGGATCTACCGAGACACGAATTTGGACGATTTGGACTCGAGGCTCGGTACGTTGGCCAAGGAAATGCTTCCCAGTTTATATTAGTGCTCAGTCTGACAGGAGAGACGCCGTGGAAGAACAATGTATATGTTATTATGTTCATGTCCATCTTGGCCGCTCGAAATTAGTCCCTCATCCCATCCAGGTGTCAGTTCGATAATGCCAACAGCAGCAAAATCTATGCCCATGTGTAGCCGTTGAGATCAAAATCTATTAAAGCATGTCCCGCAAAACCAAAATCTTCTTCCAAATTCCATTCGTATGAAACTGGGGCTGGGTAGCCACTGGAAGCATTGCGATCCTCTACCCCAGTATTGTTGATCTCCATTGTGCTCCCTGATAACGATTGATGGTCTATCCCACACCTGTCCTCCAAGTGAGCGCTTGTCAGTGTCAAAGTAGAAGGCTGTGCATAGCCGGAGTTCAATGCCGGCCCTGAGCGAGATGGTCGAGTTTGAAACCCGGATCTCGCGTCCTGCATTTTGGTTACAACCTCACGCATGCTCGGAGCCATGTCGGCAAGCATGTTGGAGACTTTGATGCACATATCCAACTTGTGGAGGTTGGTCTTGCGCGTGCTTGCGTCGCTACTGTTGGCATCGCGGAAGAAGGTTGAGGCGGCTAGGCAGATATTGATCAGGGCAGAGGGAGGTAGGAACATCGCCAGTCCGCAGTCAATGACACCTTCCAGGATCTCAGCTGTTTCGTTTGCCGCCTGTCGCAGAAAGCACCGGCTGTAGTCGGTGGGTGGACAGCGGTCAGTGACGGAGTCGGGGCTAATGTGCTCTGAGATATCATCCACCAGCATACCGTCCCGATGAACAAGAAAATGTGCAGCGCAGTATATCAGCTCCACCGCACACACGGCCCATGTGACACTGCGGGGAGTGCTGCCCATACTGTCTTGAAGCAGATTCTTGCTGTTGAGCTCGATGGGAATGTCTGACCGCCAGCGGTAGAGTTCTTGGACCATGTACTGTCTCAAAAATGGCAAGGGGTTGGCGCATTGCTGACCATCCCAAGGAGAAAGATCCTCGTGGATGTTGCGCATGATCCGATAGATATGCCAGCATAGCTTCGCCTTCAAGATACAGACTGTCGCGAGCGCTGGGGAAAGCGCTTCGAGTCTTTGTTGGGATTGATGGGATTGAGGAACCACGCTTTCAACCCCGAGGGCTCCTGTGTCCTCCAAACCAAAATCGCTCATGGTCAACATGGGTGTACCGAATGGCCACACGCGTGGTGGCTGGCCTATGGACATGCACAGGTCGCATTCTTTCATGAGAATACTCCACCACAGTATCCGGCGAAGATTCCGCTTCCGCTGTGGCTTGGATGGTTTCAATGGACTGACATGCTCTGCTCGATGTAATTTCAGAATATGGGCCTGAGAAATAGCAGTTCCGAGCCAATATGTGGCGTCCTTCAGGTTACTCCTGCTGGCCCATCCGATGAGAAAGAGCGATGCTTGACAGATGGTGATGCGATCCTTCTCCGTCTCCAACTCGAAGAGTATCTGGTCCACATGTCAGATTCTGCGACAAGGTGGCATGTTCGGTGGTCTCACCTTTGCCTTTTCATAGAACGTCTGTCTGGCCGTGGTCTTGCTCATGTACGCTTGCCGGAGAATAATCTCATTCTCAACGGCTCCCACGCCAGCGAACATGACGGCATGGAAAAGGAGCAACGACACTCTCTGTCCGGGCTTCTCGCCTAGTACTGCGCCTCGAAACGCCGGGAGATCTATGACGGGCAGAAGCGGATGCACAAACTCGGCGAACCTGTCCATGATCACGCGTTGAAGCTGCGGTGGTGGCAAGACAAATACCGACTTCTGCCGCAAGAATTCCAGGTCGTTGGGAGTGCGCACAGGGAATGCCTCTATAAAGTCCGGCAAGGCTGTGTGCCAGCCTGAACCGCCCTGATGGAGGGGCGGTGGCGTAGACGGAGCTGAAATCAGACCATCGTCTCTGTCGACCGTGCTTTCATCTTGACCAGCAGTGTCATTCGTGATCGGAAGGTCCGGCTGCTCTGTCAAAGACAGTAGAAAGCCGTGAGACACGGGAGCCTTGGGTGCAGCATCCCCTTGACCCACTATAGGCTGTTGCAAGCTGTTGAGAGCTGGATCTGGTTGAACACTGTCTCGTTCTTCCCAATCGTTGGCCGAGTGCCGTACCTCTTCAGGTGTATCGGGGAGGCGTTCGATCATGAATACTCCTTCTCCGATCTTCGCATGTCGATGATTTGATCCAGGAGCCAGTGAAGCATGCAGGGCATGGCGGTCGCTGGTTCTGTGGCCGCGCCGCCTGCACTTGATGACTCGGCATTCTGCCCCATCCAGCAGACAGTTGGTGCAATAGCCTGCCTTGTGGGTAACATCACATCTGACCTTGCGCGAGCGGCAGCGAAGGCATGCCTGGGTCGCTCGACGGTGAATAACTGCTTTGTTCGAGCGCGATCGTACCCCGGTCGCCTCTGTCGCCGGCCTGTGTGAGCCAGTTCTCTGTTGATCCGAAGTCGACAACGGTGATGAGGTCGTGGGTGGTGATTCTCCTGGATGCATGACGGTCAGGTTGGCATTCGAAGTCCCAAGCTCGGAAAGCTATCAAGCTTTAGACCTCTTTTTCAAGAGAGGGACATTACAATGTCGATAGTTCGAGTTATCCTCGGGTTACTTCCAGTTTTACGCCACCGTGGGGGAATGCGGGGGCCTCTCGGGTACAAACAAGCAGCCAATTCCACCGGAAAAATGGAGAAATGCATACCTAATCCGGCTAGCGTGCCTCGTCTGCCTGGGGACCCACTTGAATACAGCCAATCAAACACATTTCGAGTGGATGCAGCTTCGCTGAGGCGAGGCTGCCAGGCTACATACATGCTTCTGACTATGATATGTTAGGAGCTACTTGGTGGCTTGGGCTGTGGATTTGACCCTAGACTAGAAAATCTCGCGAAACTAGGACTTCCACTCTGAGCCTCACGGGGTGAATTGCTCTCGTCGAAGTACAAGATAAATTCCACCTAGGGGTAGACCTTCAAATGAAACAAATTTAACAGCTATAAGCAACTTGGCAGGCAATCTTGATAGTGTGGGTCTGCCCTTTCATATTTGCCGGCCTTGGCTCCTGGTAGGAGAAGCTTGTCCTTCTTGCCCTCTTCTTACCACTGATACTTCGGTAAGAGGCAATATCAATATTCAGATCGACCTCCTGACTACTTCTTCACAGTCTTGTGGCTTGGACTTTCTGTCTCAGATAATGCCAGCCCTTGACCCTTGCGACTCGTCTCCCGTATGGGCTGGCCGACACCATCTTCGGTTCACATAGGCTGCTATGAATGTTGGACGATCCGTAGTCGCTTTGATGGTTTGCTCCCAATTGCGAACGGAGAAGCGGGTGTAGTTCTTCAAGGTCAGGATCGCAAGCCCTTCGATCCTCCTTAGATGTTGCATGGCAGAAGGATCCGTGACGCCGACGTGGTGCGCGAGGAGTGGCTTCTGGAACGGACTTTCTGAGGGGAATCGCGAGGACGAGGCCTAGAGATGCGCCAGCGGCGAACGGAAGACCTGCACAAGCCATTCAATCCATCCAACTTGCTCAAACTGTGCAACGAAATGACCATAGAGCGAATCCAAGTCATCCAAAAGGTGTGGGTTAAAGAGTGTATCGCTGCGGGTGGCCATTACGAAGGGTCTCGGGACGAAGATGCCCTCGGCTATCTGAATTCCCAAAGGAGCAAAGCAATGCCGACACCTAGCGCATCTGGACCGCGGAACTCATAGTGAACTGTATCCAGGCTCCGGTCGCGTACATGTGACCCAGAAAGCGATGCGGAGACTCAATCGAGCCTCGGCGCTCCGTTCAAGGGGCCCATGCTAGAAACGATGAATGCACGGGGTTGGCTTCCTAGTAATTAGGGCATTCATAATAAGCTCTTGTTCCAAGATCTCTAGAGGATATTTGGAATCGCACTTATCGATGCTCATGTACTGCGTCAGATTCTAGTATGATATGCATCAAATGAAACCCATACAGAACGACAAGGACATTCTTGAGCCTTGCTAAAGCGAAGGTCTTTATTATTGTTGTTGAGCGTGGACGAGTATGGGCTGGAAAGGATTTGTCCGTTCTGAAGAAGAGCATCAGCGAATGCAACAGCCTAATCTCACACCGGATCTAGTGTAGCATACGCTATCGCTACATAAGACACCATTACGGCTGGGAATAGCTCCTTGCTAGTTGGGTTGATGGAGAATACCAGGAGGGCGGAATTGGTCGATATCACCTGCCAATCATGGGACGTTGGCTGTCCTTTCTGGATGATGTGGGTCTGCGTGTCCAAGGACAAGTGATTAGTATAGCATTCACTGTGCTGAGCCATGGCGGCTCCGGTATTGCAGCAAGATGTTGATACTGGGATGTGCAGCTGTTCACCATGTAGGCGGCAATGTCTGGGTAAGCTGGATTCACGGCCTCCGGAATTAGTGTGAATAGCTACTGGAACCATATCGGACGAAATGGTTATGTTGATGTTTTGCCCGAATTGCCGAGCATCCGCCCAAGTTGGTTCAAGTTGGTTCGCATTGGTGGCAGGGTGCGTTAGATATCTGCAGCGCATGAGGGTCATCGTATTTACAAACAATAAAACGTGCATCAGCGCATCATGGCAACGGACAAAGAGTGTGCGATTGTAACTGGAGGCGCTCGAGGTATTGGTCTAGCGATTGTACGAAGGCTGGCCTTGCGCGGAATCAATGTCCTGATCGCCGACATCCGCGATGAGCTCGGGAGAGAAATGGCGCGCACACTGGCAGAAGAGTTCAAAGTCGAGGTCGTGTACCATCATGCCGATATGACCAAAGAAGACGACATCAAAGGCATGGTGGACGCGGCAATACAGCGGTGGGGTCGCCTGGATTGGGCGGCCAACAATGCCGGCACCGGCGAGCTTCTGGAAGACCATGAAGACCACATGACAGGCGCGGATTTCGATCGGCTCTACGAATTAGACCAGCGAGGTGTCTGGCTGTGCCAGAAGTACGAGGCGGCAGCGATGCGGAAGCAACCTCTTCGCATAGCCCACGGGTCGTCAGTAGCGTTTGGAGCTGTTGAACAACGAGGTGCAATCGTCAACATCGCCTCAATCTGTGGTCATGTGGCCATCGGTATGCCCTCATATACGGCTGCAAAACATGCCGTCATCGGCATAACCAAGACCGGCGGTTTGTTCTATGGGAAGTTTGGAATACGTTGCAACTCGATCTCTCCGGGGACCGTTCACACCCCCGAGTTCTTCAGCTGGTCAAAAACCTTTGAGAACGACCCTCGGTTTGCTGAGCAGGCTTCAGGCTGGAGCAACCGCTGTCCCCTCCACCGACCGAGCTCATGCGAAGAGCAGGCCAACGTCGTCAGCTTCTTGCTGAGTGGGGAAAGCAGCTTCATCAACTGTGCCGATATCAAAGTGGACGGAGGCTTGACCGCGGTGGCAGACAAGTAATCAAGCTTATTCCGTCTCTGGCCTTTCACTTACAGCCGTGACGGCCGTGACTGCCAAGTTTTCTTGGGAATAGCGTGGAAATATCACCCCTAAGAGTGGGTAATTGAGCTCATCTGTAGTCTTTGAAAATGTGCGGTGTAATAACCACTAGCGACAGAGCTACTAGTGAGTGCTAGAAACAACACTTAAAATGGTTGTATTCACGCTCATCCATACCGGGCTATGCACCGAACCACAGCTGCTTGCTTCCGTTTTTACATGTGTTCAAAGATACTAGGTTTGACACCTCTGGACGACTCACTCAATTGAGCACGAAACTACCGTTAACTAAGTCTATACCTTGGTAGCGATTGGATCATGTAAACGAATACTAAAGAAACGGTCCCTATAAATCTATGTACAGTCCCCAACTAGAGCGACAGATCGGCTTCGGTAGCATTTCTGCACAAACCGACCCGCCCAGTAAATGGTAGACATTTGCGCCTCTCATGGTCACGGCTTCGTTCCTGTCTAGAAGGAATTGGCACATGTCGCCGCCTGGTAAGGAAACCCCCTCTTCTGATCCGCAGGAGGATTCCGGCCTGTGCTTGTTGCTCTGGCGCACGGACAGTGATATTAGGCTTGGGTGCTGGTGCGTCTTAAAGGTACCATCTAGCTGAAGGGGAAAGGAAGTCATCATGGCATTAATGCACCGAGTGACAAACTACGCCCCACTGTAACGTCGTTAAAGTAAATGTAATATCCGCAATAAATTACCCAAACGCTGCGTGTCAGCCTCCGCCTGCCCAAGACCCTCGATGTGGATCTTGGACAGGAATACGGATATCGGCAGCGGGAGGTAGCTAGCACCGAGATAAATAAGTTAGTCTGGGAGTTTTACAGCGAGTGATAGAGGCTCTATCTTGTCTCTTACATGGTCAGTAGAATCGACTCTTTATTTAGATGACATAGGAGTGTTTGAGCGAGATCTGCGATGTTCCGAGCCGCTTCTTCGGTCTCTAATATCGCCACGAGCTCCCGGCCGCTTCCCAGCCAGCCCCACGACAAATTATGGCGCCAATCGAGCTGATACAACTGAATGACCAGAGTACTTCAAGCAATGTCAGTAAAGACTTCATCGACATGACATAGACTTACTTCCGAAGCAGACGGAGCGCGTTGAAAACAAGACTCATATGCGGCTCCAAGATAGCATCGGCAGACTCCAAGAGTATGGCAAAGTCATGGTCCCATTTGTGAATGGCGTCTCGGATGTCAATAACAGTAACATAGCTGAACGGCGCCAGCTTCTGGTCACGCATGGTAAGTATCCGAGCCATGATTTCTGTAAGCCTACAGGTCATGACAAACGCTGAGCGTGTCAGGATGCCGCTCTCTGGTCTAATGTAGTCCGGAAACTCAGTCGCTTCCGATAGATTGGGCAAGCCGATGCTGTCAGAGGGCCCAGGGATATACAGAATGGACGAGGTGGATTCTGTATACACGGAAAGCATGCGCCGGCGGATGAGACAACACTGTCTTACTAGTCGATACATCGTTTTTGTATATCCGTCTTCTTCGGCTTGAGACTCGATGGCTGCGAGGGCATGCCCTAACGCACGATCGGCCCAGTACTCGTTGACTTCATGCTCCCAGCTATATGGGCCCCAATAGCTCAGAAGGAGGCATATTTCGGCCAGCGCTTTCGAATGCGCGCTCGAACATTGCCAGTAAGCGAGCTGTGTGGATCTCTCGTATCAATCACTCCAGTACCCAGGCACAGCTAAGAAGACTCAAACACTCCTATGTCATCCAAACAAAGAGTCGATTCCACTGACCATGTAAGAGACAAGACAGAGCCTCTATCACTCGCTGTAAAACTCCCAGACTAACTTATTTATCTCGGTGCTAGCTACCTCCCGCTGCCGATATCCGTATTCCTTTTCAAGATCCACATCGAGGGTCTTGGGCAGGCGGAGGCTGACACGCAGCGTTTGGGTAATTTATTGCGGATATTACATTTACTTTAACGACGTTACAGTGGGGCGTAGTTTGTCACTCGGTGCATCAATAGCGTTAAATATCTCCTCTTGCCCTTCGTGAATGGAACCGAAAGGCATGAGTGGCAGTTGATCCTCGCGAAGATACTGGTCATAATTGAGCACAGGATCTATGGATTTAGACTGAAATTTACACCAAAACTAACAAAAGCAATAGCCAAATCACGAGCTCGGTGTCCCGGTTGAAGCTGGTCGATTTGTGAGTTGAAAACGGTCGCATCAGTCACCCCTGTCAGGAACGGGAGTTGAGGATGGAAATCGAGAAAATATTGCCTCGTCAGTCGAAGCTACCAACTTGTGGCATTCTCCCATTTCGGAAAAGCAATTTTAAGTGCGCTGGGATGATCGATCGCCTGGGGAAGGAATGGCTGGGCTTGTTTGGCTTGTCCACGGTGGAGGTGCCCGGCCGTGAGGCTGCCATGCATGAGTTTGGGATCTTCGCACCATTGTTCATGGGAAAGGTACCTGGTAGGTGGGATTCGGATTTTTTTCTCGCTAGGATAATTGAGTGGATCGGAGAACGGACAGAGGGGATCACGATCAGGTTGCGAAACCGCTGGGACAGTGGCCTCACAACGCATACAAGTGTACGGCTGATCAGGATTCGGGTAATCGAGGTCCATCATGTCCCTCGCTATCTAACCTCTGCACTGAGAGGAGCAGAGCACTGCTCAAAGGTATTCAAGTCACTGTCATCGCATTGGGCAAGCCCGGGATGCCGCTACTCTGTCGGCATACCGGCCCAATTTCGTGTTCACGTGAGGCTGATAGAGACCTGTATAATGCCAGAGTGACACGTCGAATCAGCAACTCAGAGTCTTATCCGTGAGGGCAAAAGTTACATTGACTATCTTACGAAGAGCTTGCCCTTTAGCCTCTTGGGGAACCAAGCGTCTCTCAATCTTCTCCCATTCCACCTGTGACATTTGCGTAGGACATGGTTAAATCTCCCAAGGGGTGTCGGCGTTCCTAATATACGGAGCCAGTCCTTGAATATCGGGCGTTCCATCGCTGAGACCGTTGTGTGCCTGGATCTTACCGTTTCCCAGAAACGCCCAACGATTGGTGCTTTCATATTCTATATCAAAGTCTTCGAATCGTGGGTTTCGAATAGTTTTGATGTATGATAAGGCCGTACCGCACCACAGCTGTGGCGCTCCATCTATTTTGCCATTCTTGTACCAAGACCTGTTCGGTTGCCCCTGTCAGTTACTTGTGCGAGAGGGACTCAGACCGCGTTCACGTACCTGCAGGGTTGGCCCCAAACAGACTTCTTATGGAACTTGTGCATGTGTTCTTGGAACTGATCTGTGGCGATTCGCTTTGGCTCAAGTGACTTGATCCTCTCAGCCTGCATCTTCAGCGCAACCGTACTGATATAGTCGCAAATTACCTCAATCTACACACAGAGGTCAGCTGGTGAACTTCGACCATAACAGTTACGGTCAGACACACAGCAGGTAAGATGGATCCATTTCCGAGAGGGCCTTGAGGTCCACAAATAATGAAGTAGTTGGGAAAGTTCGGGGCCGCAAGGCCAAGATAAGCGTCCGGAATGTCTTTCCAGGCTTCCTTGATATTGAGTCCGTCTCGGCCCAATATTTCAAACGACGTAACAAAGGAGACATCAAATCCTGTCGCACACACCTGTTTCGGGTTAGCCAGGGGGATAACGAGTTATTACGCGCCCTAAAGGAGAGGATATTACTCACCAAGACATCAACCTCGTGTCTCGTGCCATCCATCATCACGACTGCCGTATCATCAAGCCTGAGAATGTCTCCAAAGACTGGCTCGACGTTCGACTCCACTAACGACTCTAAGTATCTGTCTCCGGGAGTAAGACGTCTACACCCCGGGGGCCATTGCGGAATCAACTTTGCGCCAAGTTCGTCATGGCCAGGTCCAATGCGGGCCTTCATCTGCTGTGTCATCATCTTTTGCACGTCTTGCTGCATTTTACTGCCCATCTTAAACACATCTGCCATCCAGTTGACTTCGGCCTCGATCTTCCTTCTAAATTGTAGATGGTATTCGGGATCGGACCGGAATCTTTCCTTTTGTTCTTCGGTAAAGGTGAATTGCTGGTGACCGGGGTTGTCGTCGCCCTGGAACTGGGAAGATGTTTGGCCGCCGATGGCGGGTGTGATCCAGGTTGGCGAACGCATGAAAACTTTCAGGTCTTTGGCCACTGCTGCGCGTTCAGTCAGTAGCTCTTGATTACTTTCGGAGAGGACACTACCTTTCTGCATTTGAGGAACAATCTAGGCTGCGTTAACTGATGAATACCTACGACCAGCAAGGAGAAAGTACCTGAATTGCGCTTGAGCCAGAGCCGATGACGCCGATGGTCTTATTGTGGAAGTCGATCGAGTCATCCCACGCTGCCGAATGAACCTTTGGCCTGCGAAATTTGTCGATACCTTCAATATGTGGCCAGGTCCACTTGTTCAGAAACCCTGTGGCATTCACAAGAATGTCGCCTGTATCCTGGAAGGTGTTTCCAGTAGCGAGATCCTCGATAGAAACTCGCCACTGTCCCGTTGCATCATCCCAGACAGCTCGTTTGACTTTGTGCTCCAGTTTTGTGAACTGGTCAATATTATACCTTTCATAGAAATCTTGCACGGTGCTCAGCTTCGTGATATAAACTCTTGTTGCTAGGAGAAGGTAACTCACTTCGACAGTATTGGTGTATCTCTGCAGAATCAGCGTAGTACTTGCTCCAGTCGTACTTTGGATCCCATGATAGAGCTGGCATATCTTAAACCGGGCACTTTTCGCAACGCCGAGACACTTACTATATAAATGTGCTGGGATATCACAGGCACATCCCGGGTAGCGATTCTCAAACCACCTGTGGTAGATGGGCGTTAGTTCGGGTGGTCACAATTCATTCGTTCAGGGCATGAATGTCGGTATCAGAATGGCTGATTCCACTAGAGCATCAGCCTCAGACTAGACTTACGTCCCGCCAACATCTTTGTTCTTTTCGTAGATTGTGAGTTCATACGACTTCAGCCTTTTCATGATGGTGAATGCCAGGCACATGCCTGATATACCGCTGCCAACACATATGATCCTGATAGGCCGCGTAATTTGTGAGTGGTAGAGGTTTTCGATGTCGTATTCGAGTTGTGCACTATGAGCCGTTGTATCCCTGACGAAAGGCATCTTGCTGTATGTGGCGACCTGATCAGTTCTCCCTTGACGAGATTGATAATTATCTCGACGACAGAGTGATACATTGTCACCAGTTGCATGTTGACGCGGGAATTCGGCCTGAACTTCACTGGAGAAGGATGGCTTGAAACCCGCTCGGTAAGTCGGCTTCTGAGCATCCAAAATCGCCGGGGGACGATTTAGTCCCATGTGGGAGTATTGAACCGCATACCAGTGCCTAGGATTTCTCCAGTACCCCCTCATGGTTATTCGGATGCTCATGCTCAATATTAAAGCCGTCAGACGACTACCATATCTCCTGACCAAGTGCTCTTCCCACTGGTTTTGAGACCACGACGCTAAATTGTCCTCGTATACATATCACATTGGCCATCATGGGCTCTACCGAGCAGCAGAGGGTAGCCATCCTTACGGGTGCAGGTGAGGAACCCTTTGGGGACTTTGATACGATCAGCCACTTACATTGAGAGTGAATAGCCACCGGAATGGGCCATGGAGTTGCGGTAGATCTTAGTAGAAAAGGCTGGAAGGTCGTTATTCTCGACTACAACGAGCAACAAGGGAAAGCTGCCGCAGCAGAGATCAACGCCGATTTCTATCTTGTCGACGTGAGGTCTTGGAAGCAGCAATATGAGGCCTTTGCCGCGGTGATCAAAGAGTACGGCCGAGTAGACTTTGGTGCGTCTTTACCCTCCCCTGAGGACCTCATGTCAGGACAAAAAGGCCAAGTTACTAAACGAACTCGTACAGTTTTCGGAAATGCTGGCAGGTCTGACACGGTAGACGATTTCGATTTGGAAAACACAACCATTGACCCAACGAAGCCTCCGAATCTAGAGGTGCTCGACATAAATCTCTATGGCGCAAGTTACACCACCATTCTCGCCTTACATGCTTTCCATCGCAACCCACCTGCGGTGAAGGATTGCCTGCTTGTTCTTACATCCAGCGGTGCCGGCCTATATCCTGCTGGAGTACAACCCCTTTATGGGGCTGCTAAGCACGGCATCCTTGGCCTCGCTCGAAGTGTAGCGTGGCGTTACAAAAACAGCAGAATCAGGTCATGTGCATTGGTACCTGGTCTGGTACCTACACCCATTATGCCTCGATCAATCATCGAACGGCAGGATAAGGATATCATAACCCCGGTGTCACACATTGTGACGGCAGTCAACGATATGATCGATAGCCGACGAACTGGTGCCACGTGTGAAGCTAGCGTCAATCAGCTGTTCTATCGTGACCCTCCAGAGTATCCAGATGCTGCACAACGGAAGGTTATGGAGGAAGTATGCGACTCGATGGCAGAAGACTTCAAGAGACTCCGGGAATCAACAGCCGCCAAGTAGTGTATTAGTTAAGTTCCTATTTGCGAATAGTTCGTTCGTACATTGAGATGGCATTCTCTTCAACAATAACAAGTATTTCATTCATTGGAGCCTTTGTACTATTACTGCAGGGCAAAGGCATCTCCCGCATGATTTCAATCTTTCACACCGGTCAGATCCTATGCTTCCGAGTCCTGTACCACCACAGGAGCAGATATTAAGGCCAAGGAATGGCGGAAATCGACTGCTGGTGCATCGATCCATCCACTACGAGAACAACAACAACAGCGCCGAAAAGCCGTCACCAATGGTTACCAGGTAGTGATTGAATCAAATCTGGTGCAATGGTGCCACAGAGGTGATAAGCACAAGCCAAATTATGAGCAGTCTAGACCGACAATGCCAACGAGTCCAATGCTCTATAGCAGGTCGTAATTTGAACCGTGTACCGAGTACATAGCAGTGTTACCAGCTATGGACCATTATCCTTGTTGAAGGGCTGTATAAGTCAACCTCTGAAACCGCTCTAGTGCTTCGAGTGTTTTTGGGTCCGCAAAAGGGAGCACCGACGCAACCAAAACTCCGGCGACGCCTTTGTTTACATCAACCCACTAAAAAAAAAGAATAGTCAGCGCCGATTCCACTGTAGACTGTTGTATTTTCCATGACTTGCCCAGTAACAATTGGGGAATCCACTCCACTGAAAGCTGCCTGCACTCAGGCCAGTGTCCAGATCGGCAAGGTTGATGGCCACTCCGAGACCGAAGCTTTTGGGTACGTCGGTCGGAATTTGTGGTAGAATGTTGATGTGCATAGGCTTTTCGTGCTTCATTTTCTCAACTCTCTGCTCCAGGTACTCTGGGTGATCCAGGCATGGCCTATAAATTTCGTGGACGCTGGCATGGGTTAATAGTCCCGAGTGATGTTCATCCAAGAACACCCCACGAAGAAGCTGACAGAGATCACTAGCCGTGCTCCAAAGGCCTCCGCCTCCGTTGTGATGACCTGACTTGGCGTATTGTGTGCCTGCATTCACATCAGCCACCCTTAACGAGCCCTCCGGCTGTCTCAAGTGCGTAGCAGTGAGTCGGTCTCTGAATTTAGGGTCTTCGAGGGGCTCAAACGTTGTATTCTGTAAACCCAGAGGTCCAAAGATGTATTTCTGGAAATAGTCTCCCAAACTTATATTTCCGTTCAATCTCGATATCTGGTGGCTTGTTAGGACAAGATGCAATCAAATTATTCTCCAAGTGTCTGAATACGCACGAGGTGGCCGACCCAATCCATCCCAGTACTGTATGCCCACCCATCCCTGGGAGAAAACATCATTGGATAAATGAGATCTTCCTGCGTATCATCGTTAGGGATAGCGATTTATCAGATTTGGGGTTCTTGCAATTGCTCCACTCTGAGAAGTCGTCTTTCGCCCTTGGTACTCGTTCCATTTTAGTAGCATGGGCTCTGAAATGTCGACGCTTATACCGCTCTGATGGCTGAGGAGCTCCCTGACCGTGGGGAGCCTCTGAGGATCTTCAAGAATGGGTTCGTTCTTCTCTGTCCACCCTCTGAGGACTTGTAGTCTGGACAGCTCCGGTAGTATATCCGTGGGTATGGTGTCTAGGGTCACCAGTCCTCGTTCCACACATTGCAGAATAGCAATAGCTACCACTATTTTGGTGCAAGAGGCAACCCAGAATACAGTCTCGCTGTCGACCTCTGATTCATCCTTCCCGAGAAATCGTTGACCGCGTGCGCCTTGGACAAGAGGTTCTCCTTTGAAGAGCGTTAAAATTGACGGCCGTTATATTGCGGCAGACGCTACTTTGGCCGCATACATACCTTTTCTATCCATGGACTTCACTTGGAAGCCTGGAAGTCCGTAGATGCTACCCGTGACATCCTCGAACACTTTGTCCACATTACCTAACATTGTGATTCTAATGTCGATAAAGCTATCATCCTAGGCATGGAAACATATATCGAAGACTTCTCCTTTTGCACGAGTCCATTTTCAATACGTAGACTGCCATGTGACTATACTACGTGCGTGCGTTATAACCGAGATGCCGAAGACGAAGCTCCGCGAGTGGCATCCATCCACTACAAAAGCCACACGGGAGGACAGTGATTTGGGTTGAAACAATTTGACATCGTCCCAAATAGGACACATCCAGGCTCCAGCCACAGCGTTGTAATATGTTACTTTGTAGATAGGTTTTGTAGATTTGAGTGACTTGACGAAAGTGCGTGCACCATCCAAGCGCACAATCGTTTTGCTTCGATTTGCGCCCGGACCATAGGACCGGCAATTCGGGCATCCAATGGCAGCACGGGGCTCTGACGAGATGAACGTATAAGCTATTTGGGATTTAAGGGGTCCTTGATGGGACGCTACAGGGACGCAACAAGATAGATTTCAGACCTCCCTATGATCTCAAAGATAGACCACCGAGGCTCTTCAGCATTGGGGCCCACGATGGTACCAGCATATATGAAGCGTTCTGGCATGCAGCCCCGGCATCTGCGCATTATCGGAATCGGAGCAGGGGCATCCGGGTTGCTGCTGGCTTACAAACTCCAGAGGAACTTTGATAATATTGAGTTGGTCATTTTTGAGAAGAATGAAGGTATATCACCGGTCAGCATGGCCACAGAACCAATATACTAACTACTCCCAGGTGTGGCTGGTACTTGGTGGGAGGTGAGCGTCCCCTCCACTATGGGCGTACTGTGCCGTATCAGGCTGAACAGATTTTTGTCACATTAGAATGATTATCCGGGGTAGGTTTGTAGATTACCAACATCTTACAAGGTTTCCTATGGTGCTAAAACAGTTGAAATACTAGATGCGCCTGCGACAACTTTTCCCACAACTATACCTACTCATTCGAGCCAAAAACAGACTATGCGGCAACGTACTCGACCAGCGCTGAAATTAGGAGGTAGGCCATTCACTCCAGGCGGTATGATCTGCGTGCGTCTCACTCCCTGGCCAGTTATTTCACGTCGTTTTCCGACAAATATCAACTGGACAAGTATATCAAACTGTCTCATCAAGTAATCGGCTGCGAGTGGAATGAGGACACCGCGACATGGACAGTCACAGTCCGGAATACAAAGACAGGAGCAAGCTCCCAGTCAACTTGTGACGTTCTGATTAATGCGACCGGAGTCCTAAATGCGTGGAAGTGGCCAGATGTCGAAGGCTTGGACACGTTCCGTGGACGTCTGGCTCATAGCGCGCAATGGGACTCGTCGATCGATCTCCAAAACAAGGTCGTGGCTTTAATTGGTAATGGGTAGGTATTGGGGCCTGGCGACTTGGGACCGGCCACCAGCTCCTGTACTTCCTCAATCACTCAGGCTAACTATGGGTCAACCGTAGTTCGTCCGGAATTCAGATTCTACCTGCTATCCTACCCAAGGCTAAACGGGTGGTGAACCTTATCCGTAGCCCAGCCTGGGTAGTAACACCGTTTGGTAATAGCGAGCCGCGTTCGTTCACTCAAGAGGAGAAGGACAAGTATGCTGCTGACCCTCATGCTCATTTGGCACTTCGCAAACATGTTGAAGCGACAAACAATGGCCTCTTCAGAATTTTCCTGAAAAACAGCCCAGAAGCTCGAGAGTCTAGAAAGATCTTTTCCAATCAAATGAAGGAAATCCTAGCATCGAGTGGACAGGCTGACAAGTTGATACCCAAGTGGTCACTTGGATGTCGACGGCTGACCCCGGGAGTCGGGTATCTCGCTGCCTTGACTCATCCAAAGACGCAGGTAGTATACGAAGCACTGGCGGCTGTCACTCCGACAGGCGTTCGATCTTCCAGTGGACAAGAATTCCCAGTGGACGTCATTATCTGCGCTAGTGGCTTTGATACCTCATTCAAACCAAGGTATCCGGTCATCGGAAGAGGTGGACAAGACCTGCGAGATCTATGGGCGGACGAGCCCAAGGGCTATATGGGTCTTGCAGTCCCGGAACTGCCAAATTACTTCAGTTTCCTGGGTCCAAATTGTCCCATCGGCAACGGGCCTGTTCTGAGTGCGATTGAAGCTCAGAGTGATTATATCTGCAAGTTTTTGTATCGCATACAAACAGAGGACATCAGGTTCGTTGATCACCTAGATACGCAGTTTCAGGCTTGGGACGACGAAGCTGACCCATGTCGAAAGGACGGTTGCGCCCAAGATGCAAGCTGCGGACGAGTTCATGGAGCACAAAGACATCTTTTTTGAGACCACAGTCTGGAGCGAGGACTGCAATTCTTGGTACAAACTAAAGCATAACAACAAGATTTCGGCCTTGTGGGCAGGCTCAACCTTGCACTATCTACGGGCTGTGGAAAACCCTCGATATGAGGACTGGGATTTCACCTACATTTACGGCAACCGCTGGTCATATCTGGGCAATGGACTCGGTCCCGATGACGTGGATCCGCAAGCCGACATGGCTTGGTACATTCGTGACCATGACGATTCCCCAATTATCGGGAGCAAAAGAGTCCACGAGGGCGAATGGGTAGGTAACAGGGGAGAAAGCGTCATAGGGATTGGCGCCCAGGACGAGGACGTAGCTGCAGAAGGGTAGTTTGGCTGGTGGCAGGGTAGGATCGTTGAAGTATTACAGAGGTCTCGACGCTGGGAGGGCTGACCTGGGACGCACCCGGCATAAAACAAAGGGGAATGAGACTGAAAGTATTTCTTAACTCACGTTTTCCCATATGTGGACATGGAGAATTAAGATGGACACTTACATACCTTTTCTCGAGCTTTGGACACAGTTACCATACACTCGAGCATCCCCTTGATATTTTCAAGGCTCATCTTGATTTAGCCGTTTCACCTTCTGTGTATTCGGAGTCATCTGGTGAACAAGAGTGAACCAGACGCACTATTGGCTTGGTCGTGGCCAGCGAAATTGTCGGCAACTCAGCATCTTCGTCAGAATGACCGCTGAGAAGACGGGATAAGTATCTGCATGCTGGCCGTGGGCAATTCATAAAGTTCTGCTTGGCTTGTATAGACTGAATAAACCAATGGCTGCCATCAACTATCCACCATACGACTCACTGCCCCTGAGAGGAGGCAAGCGATCGGCCTGGGCTATATGGAATAGAGACGGAGTACCGGACCATCTTGGTGGTACGTGGCGGTTGCTCATCACCAAGCACGTGTCGTTCAAACCGGATCGACGCTGATCGTTATCTCCAACATTCAGCCCTCAATCATTTAGACTCGGTGGCTCGTTGTGCCGCCGCTCGAGAAGTCGTCCATGGTGAATCGTTCCAGCTTGACTGGGCATATGATGAGATCGGCAAACCGGCCTTTGGCCGTCAAGGTCTCACACACAATGTCATCGACTACCACAAGGTCACGGGTGAAATGGCTCACGACGATGTCATCACCTTCAACACACAGTGCGGCTCTCAGTGGGATGGCTTTATGCACTACGCCGACCAGAATTTGGCCTCGTATTACAATGGTGTGAAGCATGGCCAAAACACGATACAAGATCCCGCGTCGCACAGTATACATTGTGAGCACTTAACAGCTTTGACAGCGGCTATTTTGCTATAGTCGGTCGGCGAATGCATTCAGATTGGTGCAAGAAAGGTATCGTTGGCTGCGGGGTGCTACTTGACTGGCCTCGTTGGCTGGAAAGCACCGGAAAGGAACCGTTCTCTCCAATTTCTTCAAGAGGTGCGTACCATCTGCTTGCACCCCTACTAGCATTTTGGAACTTCGCAGTGAGATTTGGCTGATGCTGCATGGAATACTAGGCCTTTCGGTGCAGGATATGAAGTTAATTGCGGAGCATCAGGGTGTTCAATTCTCCCACGGCGACATCCTGATCGTTCGAACTGGATTCTTAAAGTGGTACCGTGAAGCGCCAGAACAGGCCAGATCAGATGCCTTCGATGCCCTCCGATTTGCCGGAGTTCAACAAGGGACCGAAATGCAGAGGTGGCTGTGGGACAGCAGGTTCGCCGCTGTGGCCGGTGATGCCGTGAGTTGGGAATGTGTGGCCCTCCCAGATCTCGAAGCTCAGAGTCATGACAACTGGAAATTCTGACACTGTCTACAGGTTATCCACCTCCTAGCGACGGGTCAATGCTTCACCAATGGCTTCTGCCCCATGTTGGCATACCGATAGGGGAGCTATGGGATCTGGAGAGCTTGGGTGTAGCCTGTCATCGGCTGAAAAAGTGGACCTTCATGCTGTGCTCCGCTCCACTGAACATACCTGGAGGAATTGCCAGCCCCTCCAATGTGGTGGCGATATTGTGATGAAGATTTTTGTATGTTTGAACGCTTAGCCTGGTGTTCGATAGTCCGCCCGTGTTCAATCACTCATAGAGACCTGTAGGCGAGCAGCACCTCCACCCCTGAGATTGCCATGCGGGTTTGTATCCTACACTCAGTTACCAAGATTGGAGTCTCTGCGTAGGTAGAGCCCATGTTGATAAGGCCGCTTGAAAAAGAATATGCCCCATATTGATCCATTGCGTCTCCATCTCGGCCCGGCTACAAGTTCAGCACTTTGCTTATAGTGCGATAAATGCAAGAGGGACGACCCTGGTGAATGATATCGCGACCAGAAATCCTGGCACAAGAGGATAGATAGAGGTTTTTATTCGTGCGTCAGGGTGACACCAATGAAGCGACTATACTTAACAGCCTTGAGCAGTTGGGTTTTCTCAGAATTCATTTACATGGAATTAGCGGAAGACCCTTATGACTGGCGGGACGGCTCTCAGCATACCGGTGTAAGAACTTGACTGGGATCTTTAACCATCGGTCGCGCATGAACTCGGCAAACCCTTTGCCTAATGCATCCAGGCGAGCCGTCGAACTTACTCCTCTCTTCAGTATACCGTAGATGACGAAATGGACGGCACGGATTCCAGGCAGTTCGCACCTCTCCAATTTGTACTCATCCTGCCATTCTTTCCCCATGAGGCGTATCATGGCTTTGTGATCCAAGATGCTCCGTAGCCAGTCCCATTCATCGTCCTCGCGGACGAAGAAGCCTACATTTAAGTTGGCTCCCTTGTCACCCGAACGGGCCAAGACCACGTCGCCTAGACGGGCATCCTGGGTAGGGCCAAATGTCGAGCAATCAATGGGAGATTCCGTGTCATAGTCCACTCGCGCTGGCACCTCTTCGTACTTTGATGGAGAGCCACTCTTGACCACCTGGACGGCTCCATTTTGGTCGATGATATGAACGGCCTCTGTCAGGTCACTCTGCGCGATCAGACACGGACAATAAGCCAAGTACACCTTTGGTACGAGTGTTCGCCAGTCCAAAGTACCATGCATACCCGCATAGTGTTGTAAAAGACTTTCCAACATGGCGTTGGCTAGCGCTTCGACCGTGTGTTTTTCTTTTGCTTGTCCAAATACTCGAATCGCAGTGGTGCTTCGTAGTTGAGACTCAGGGTTGGTCTCAGGAAGACCGTAGACCTGGAATTCCAGCACCTGAAAATTATCGTGCTCTCCGACCTCGTGCAAACGAAAACGAATTTGCTGTTCGTGCAGTATAAATTTCTCTGCCGTCGCATAGCCGGTGGCCGTGAGGGTATATTCACATTGCCAGCCTGCACGATAGAAAGCGGCCAGCTTTGTCGTTGGTGGCGGTGGGTGCCCTTTAGTGCCGGTGACTCTGACCCTGTTTGGTCCTTCCTCGACCATGACCACGTTGGAAAGATTCGCTTTGGAGTCGCTGTGGAGATATATATTGCCTTGGATCTCGTAGAGAAGTTGCGCTTTCAAGGTGTCCACTGTCACAAAGCCACGCGTACCTTCGTGTTTGGTGATGATACTTGATCCTGTAGCATCAATCTCCGCGATTGGAAAGCCAATGTCAACGAGGTTCTGTAGAGGGAATTGAAAAAATTCGCAGAAGTTGCCCCCTGTGGCATAGCCACTACATTCAATGAGGTGCCCTGCCACCAGGGATCCTGCCAGCTGGTCGTAGTCGGTGTCGTTCCATTGATGCCACCACCAAGCAGCCCCAATGACAGGACTGGCATCTGACACTCTGCCGCCTGGAATATGGGAAAATAAAGGGTCAGCATGAGAATTGACACCTCGCACGAGAATAACTCACAAATTATGATGTCGGCTCCAAGGTCCAATGCTTTCTTCACACCTCGAGCGCCGAGATATGCATGAGCCGTGACAATATCAAAACGGGCTGGAGTTTCGAGAAAAGTCCGAGTTTCGGGAGTTAGAAAACATGCAGCATTGTCTCCGTCCAGGTGCGTCACCCCGCTGTTAAGCATCGAGATGAATTGACTTTTCACATCGTCACCGACCAACCAAGCTACCTTGAGGTCCAACTTCTTCTCTCGAGCCTGGGATTCACATCGTCAGACCAGTACCAAACGACTTGACTCGATCCATTCCTTCCTCGCTTACCATGGAATCAACGACCTTTGCCAGCCCTTCCGGGTTCAAAGCGCCACCATTGACAATGAGTTTAATCCGCCGCTCTGCAGCCACCTCGAGGGACAATTTTAATCCTTCCAGCGCATTGGGATCATATCCATGATGCGCTCCAGCCTGGTAATTTTCAGCATTTTGGGCCAAATTGGCTTCTGAAGAATGGTGAATTTGTCATTAGCAAAATTCCGATATTCCAAGCAGTGTGGTCTAACCAGCGAGATAGTCCCCCGTCACCACATCAATTGGGCCCAGAGTACACTGTCGATACATTTGGTAACCAGCATCGCACGCCGCCCCGGCACAGTTGCCGATCCGTATTGGTCGTCTTGGTTGGGAAGTCATGATACTTACCTTGACCTCCGCAACTCCAAGCTCGTGATGGAGCATGTCAAAATGTAGGTCGAAATATGTTCAGATCAAATGAGGTTGACATCTCGACATCGGCATTTCGGCTTGGCTGCTTGGGTCAGTCGGTTAGGATGGTCTGCGAGCGCACATAAATTATAGGTCTCCTAACTTGCTATACAACTTCCAAGGTCCAGCTGGCTGTTCTGAACAGTGAGATGAAGACCCAAGGCCATCAGATGTATTCCAAGCCATGTACCGCTCCGTTATTGCGTCGACGTTACGCGGAGAGTAAGGAAAAACTTCAGGAGGTGATTGCTTGGCAAGCATCAGATAAATGTCATTCACACGGCAACCACGTCCTGCACAAAACGCGATACACCTCCCCTACTAAGTCTCCTGCGCGGTGCCTGGATATCTCGGTACATCTGGGGGTTCTGCAGCCACTAAGAGCAAACACGTGCCACAACCTGGATGTAGAGGTGGGTCAGTCGCCCGAAAAGGTTTGGCGCCTTATAATGTAGCTACGGAGCTATGAAGCTATACCACTTCTGGCACAACGCCCTAAGCTAGTTTTGTACAATGTCCGAATTGCCGGAAACCCGAAACCTCGTGCGGCCCTCTCGGATCCAAGACCCTACCAGCATACCAAGTGGGCATACCTGCATAGTCGTACGACCCAAGCATGAAAACGCCGTGGCATCTGGAACTCAGTACCTGGGGTGGCGGAGTCCGCGTTTATTTCTCCACTGTTGTAAACCGGGGGGGCTTGCTGGGGGTAACAGCCAGATACCCCCCGCCTTGCCGCTTGGCCAACCGCTCGACCTAGTCTAGGTCTGCTCTTGGGGGACACGGCTCCAACTTCAAAATTCATCTCACGCTGCAAAGTTCCCCCACACATGTGGCTTCAATCCCAACACCAAAGACCGTGATGGTTGGAATAGAGAATCACACTGTGACGGGCGCCGTGGACTGGGCAGTCAGGTAAGAAGCCATCAGCCTGTACTGGTGCACTTAGGCTGACTGCGAAAGACGAAATCCCAGGGCATGCAAGATTTGCAGGAAGAAGAAGGTCCGATGTATGTATCCTTTGATTGACTTGGAGGCGTGGTCCGCACAACAGGGCAATTGACTCGATTGCACCTAGGTGACGGTGCAGAACCTGCCTGCGCCAATTGTCGCCTGCACCAAAGCGTGTGTGTCTATCTACCTCGAGCGACGAGATCCAAAGCAAAACAGCAAGGGAAGACGCAATCGCTGGATACAGCACCGGGCCTGACTACGTCATCCAGCAAAGAAGTTCGCAGTCCCAGCTCTCCGTCAGGCACAGAGCTCGCACCAGCAGGAGATTTGACGCAGCATGCCCAAAGAAATCCTGCAACGCCATGTGTGTCGAGGGAAACATTTGATAATCTGACCTCTCATTGACACGTAATATAGATAACCTCATACACGTCAACGCAACAAGTCCTTTGGGAATACCCGAGACTTCCCTGGGTGCTCGAACCGTTACCTCTCCCGCCGATAGAATTTTCCAACCTTTTCCGTCGCCGCCGGATATGAATGACTTGGACCACGATATGTTACGCCTTCTCGACGCTGAGAGCCTCCAATTTCGAGGTCCCTCACCTAAGCCCACTCAAGATCTCTCTCCCCACGACGATCTCAGCATGACCGACGTCCAGGCGAATGGATGCGATCGTACCGGGATGCTCACTCCGATCATGCTCTCCGATGACTTTCAGCAGAATGCCGCGGATCAGACCGTCATGAAGCAATTTCCTAACGCTGCGGCACCTTGGGAGATATCTTCGATGGACAAAGGAGCTTCCATGGCACGGCTGCCTTCGCATGAATTTGCGCCAGGCATTGACTTCTGCCACGGAGGCTCTTCGTGGGATGACATAGGTCTAGATCTGAATGTAAATGAAGCGTCAGACAGTGGTGACTTCGAAGATGAATTGACAGATCAGGATATCGGCGACAGTATGCAAATTGCTGCCAGTGGACACGTCAAGTATATGGGTAAAAGTCTCCAAAACATCATTGCCATGTGTTTCCTTTCTGACTGAGGTCCAGGTCCAAGCATGTCGGTAAGCTTATGCCAACGCAGCGTAGCATTGTTGTTGGATCGGATGGGTGGCAGACTTGCTAAACAGGGTTTCAGTTCATTCCGGGTAGCTATCTCGGACACCAGTGGATCACCAAGATCACTGGTTCGGCATTCCTGGCTGAGCAGATGCGAGTTTTCCTGTCCAAATGGAATCCCGACGACACTGAGAGCATCATTGAGGCCTCTGAAGTATATAACGAGAATCACCTTCCAACCTATGATGTTGCTCTTACGTACATTGACGGTAAGCACATAACTTGGACTGGCTCTGTAAGCGAAACCCTGCTGACGAACAATGGATCAGCTTATTTCAAGGCGGTGCAATGGTATGGTGGTTTTAGCACAAATTACTTGTCTTATCCTTACGATTCTAACCAGTGAGCTAGTGTATTTCCAATACTGAACCGACAGGATTTCATGCATAAATTCGCCACCACATATCATGGACTGACGCCGAACAAGAATCCCACGCATTGTGCCATGGTCAACATCACACTGGCAATCGGGTGCAGAGCCATTCCAGACTCGAACGAAGATCAAATAAGCGGCCTGTTCCAAAATGCCCTGGGGAGTATCTCTCGCGTGCTGTTGGGTTACTCGCATCTTTCGAAGGTTCAAGTCCTCATGTTGATGGTGTGTGCTGTCATTATTCTTCAAACTGTGCAGGGTTGTCGCTCACTTATCGCGGACAGTACCTCTTTCTCAGCCAAACAACAACACCACACTGGGGTTACATCATATTGGCAGCAGCGGTGAGAGAGGCGGAGGCCTTGGGCATGCACCTCCGACCAGCAGCCAATTGGGGATTTTCGCGGTCCGAAATGAAGCAGAGGAGCCTCATTTTCTGGTCGTTGTATTGCCTCGACATCCGTAAGTAGCTCCAAGGGCGACAAAGCCACACAGACGGTACAAGGAATTAATCTGTGCTCCAGAACTTGCCTTTCGCATTGGTCGTTCGCCAATGCTTCGGGGGAAGGAAATCTCTTTGAAGCCCCCGTTTCAGAGAACCGACAGCCCCATGGGGTTGGACGGCGGCCAGCCGTTTCTAGACGCCCTGAACCGAAACAGGGCTCAGGAACAGCTCTTTCTATTCAACGTGGAGATGTGCCACTTTGCCCAGCGAGCTTACGATCTGATTACGTCGGACTATGAACTCGAAGCTTTGGAGCGCGCAGTCGTTGATCTTGAACATGAGGTATGAACTCTGTTTACGAGTTGGGTGGTGGATTTACTTTGACAGAGTCTGGGGCTGAAGAATACTCGGCAGATATCTCAATTTTCCAGCTCGGTCAACCAGGACTGGGTTTTGGACCCCTCGGTTGGAATGGAGAAGTTCCTGGCTGTCCCTCTTACCCTACAATTTCCAGTGGCACTGCTTAACACCTCAGTCTTTTGGATACAATCCATCCTTCGGCTGCGCTTATTCTCCTTGAAAGCTGCCCAAAGTCTTTCGGGAACCCCTGAATCATTCGACCTTCTCCGAGACGCTTTTCCTTCGGCGTCGGACTTGGATGCTGCCAGCGAGGCGGCCGCCTCGCTGGTTAAACTATCATCAGTGTTGCCCAAAGGCAGCATCAACTTTTTCTGGTCAGTCTCTATGGTGATGCCATGTCTTCTCTTCACCGCACACTGAGCATCACGTCAACTTCCCAGAACTTCGGGTATTGATTTTCGTTTATAGGTATTTACAACCCCTACCAGCCTACGCCTTCAATGTTCTATTTCTCGCCGTGCTTGATCGACCTGCAGCTCCAAAGGCGCACGAATTCATGGACCTGATGTCCATCGTTATCGAGTCGACAGTCAACACTGTTACCGCACCTAATGCCTCGATGGCGGACCTCCATTTGACGCACTTTTTGACCTTCTTTGCACGCTCTGCGCGTAGAGCCATCCAGCAGGCGAAGGGTCAACCATAGAGATTCAGATGCAAGCACTCTCTCTAGAGCTTTAAACCACTCCACGACGAGTCAATGACTGGACACTCGAGTGGCCATTCCTTGTTCCAAGAATCTCTAGCCCAGAGGCCGAGAACTTCCCGATTGGTAAAGGCTCTCGGCAGCATAACGACATCTCGACTCGCCATTGGTACTGGGCAAGGCGTGCAAGCGAGCTTGTTTCTCTCGGACGTCGCTGATTCTGACACCGCCACGTCAGAGAGAATAGGACGCCCGCGGTTTGCTTAGCGTCTTGTAAGACATGGGAAACATGGTCTTGCTCCAAGCATGTTGATATGCTTTGGTTACCACATTTGTTTCCATGAATTGACAAGTGCGTCTCAGTTATTGTCACAACCTAGGGACACTGCAGCTTGTGCATGATTTCACAAACCTGTCAGGTGAAATAATGTATAAAATGTCAACAACATTGGGAAATGTATCAGATTACCGATTTTAGCAACACCCCTCGTTGCGTTATAGATACCTACCTTTAATGATATTAAACGAATTTCAATTGTCTAACCCCTCTCCCGGAGGGGGGGGGGGGGGGGCTTTCTATACAATCGCTAGCTTCCCTGTATTCATTCTCCTGCGGTATATCAGATCGTGTCCAGCTATCTATCCCTCTCAGGCAGGCCTTAGCACGGGTGTTCTGCGGATATCACCCCGTCGGGATCCTTGATAAACTAATAGCCCCTTCCTAAAATCCTCGCCTGTGCTGGAAGTAGTCAGTTCTTCGCTAATGGGGCACTTTAGATGGGTCAAACATAGCCGTCTGAAGCCGAAAGAGACGGTGAAGGGATCACGCCAGTGAATCTGGGTCTGGGACGTTGACTGTGGTGGCGATTCTGTCGCTTCCCTCAGTCAAATTGACTCAGAAGAGGCTCGGCTTCAGCATATTCCCTCTTGATGGTCTCCACGCGAGCCTGGGAACGCGGCGCAATAACGACGTTGAACGGCTTTGCGACCCGGTTGGCGCCTCCTATGAAAGCCGAATGCTGGCCATTGACAGTGAATGCAGCCGTGTTGATGTGCTCTGGCTTGCCTGTCCGTGGGTCGATCGCGGGAGAGATATCGAATGCCCAGATGATTTTCGAAATGGATCGCCACAAATTCCGTTCGGCGATGTGCATGCCAGGACAGATTCGTCGACCGGCTCCGTAAGCTTTATAGAGGCACCCGCCCCAGTCAGCGATCAAATGTCCCCTGCTAATGATAAGAGAGCGACAGGCAACACACCATAATGGTCGCGATCTTTCCAGTCTGGATTTCCTTGGTAATGATCTGCCAGCCTTGTCCTTTGGTCGTATCTGTGGAGTTGGTTGGGGTTAGCTCTAGGTGCTCTGTCTTGAAGGTGACACAAGGCAGATCAATACCGATCGGGATTGAACTTCTCAGGTTCTTCATAGTACTCTTCATCCATGTGCAGTGCCCTGGATACCGACAATCAGCAATGGAATTCAGCGTGGGAGCAAGCAGATTTCTCACCAGGTACTTTGCATCGTTCGCGCACCCTTTGGGATCAAATATCCTTTGTAGTAATCGTCTTCGCGCGCAACGTGAGGGACTCCTGTCACAGTAACGCATCGCCACCTCAGAGTCTCCTTCTGAATCTGGGCAATGTACGGAAGGTTGTCGTAGTCTGACCACTGAGGAGTCCGATCTTCTCCCACAACACTGTCCATCTCCTTTTGCGCCTTTCTCTGATATTCCGGCCAACAGGCCATGGCCATGACGAATGAAATCAGCGTAGACGAAGTTGTGTCGGCACCACCCTCGAGGATTTCCCCTCCTAAAAACTGCAACGAGTGTAAACCCCACCGCCACGTTCCCAGTGATCCTCCGGTCTTCGCACCGGGATTTTGGCTGCAGAACTCGTCAAAGAGGCAATTGGACGCAGGAGCAAGCTCTCGTCGACCCAGGTACTCGTTCCATAGCTTGGCGAAGAGTGCGTCCATCCTACGTCCATGCTCTATCGCACGACGTTTCCAGAATGCAAACGATGAAGGCACCAATTGCAACAGGCTGAAAGGCCACTCGTCCACCGGAGGTGTGGCCCCGAGCTCCATATTTTCCGCCAGGTAGCCCATTGCGGCTCCCACATCTTGACACAATGGTTCCTCGAAAGCTTTGGGACGCTTGCCGTAGGTGAGGGCACCGGTCACGGCTGCGGAATACCTCTTCAAGAGTTTGTAATAATTCTGAGGCTCGTCTAGCAGAGTGCAAAGTAACGCGAGAGCCCTGATCAGCACGTGCCAAGTCAGCCGCCGGAGCAATCCATCCTGATCAGTAGAAATACGCACTCGGCATTCTGGTATTCGGCGTGGATCTTGTCACATTTCTGAGGAGAAAAATAATGAGACATTAACTTCCGCCGGTCTCTCCATTCGTCGTTCATGGACTGGAAAGCCGCATGATGGTTTTGGGTGAGCAGGCGAGCCACATAGCTCGGTGGACGATCAGAATAAATATGGGACTTCTTTTCCCAGAGATCACGGATGGCTTCTCTATCCTTGATGGCAATCACAGTGGCGGAGCCAAACTTCAACGACATGATTGGACCATACTGTTTATGCCATTCGGCGATCCTTTTGTAGGGTGTAAGCGATGATAATGAACCAAAGTAGAACCTTGGGTATCTCCAGGTTTGGGAAGCCTTACTGCCACTCAATTTGTTCCTTGGGTATTTGTAGTAGATTCCCAAATATAGGGACCACTGGGGGACCCGGAGGGAGTCCTGGCTCTCGCTGGCCAATCTGGAGGAGCCGGTATATTCCGTAGGCCAGAACCAATCCTATGATATAGTAAAAGACCATCCTGCCACCATAGCCCTCAAACCACCTCAAAGTAAGATGTCACCTTGTACTTTCAACTGCATAGACATACTAAGTAAATAAATGTTTCTGGCACCTCTCAAACCAAGATGTCGGACCTTGTCCAGGCGCATCAAAAGGGCTCGAAGCTAAACCCGACTTACCGAAGCGACGCCGTGTACAAGCTCTTAGTACCGAAAACCCGTCACCCCTTACTCTTGATGTCCTGGGAGCGTGCTTAACTCATTCCCAGGCTTCAAAGAGGTTGCTGTCAGAGAGAAACAATCTCTCTCAACCCGCTCATGCCGGCACGGCTTAATTACAAGTATTTTCTATTCTGAGAGTCACCAAATTTACACCGGACTAGAGCGTTCATGATCGTTTCCAATGGTTTATGAAACTACCACCAGCTACCCCGTAGAGCTTCTGTTGCGAAGCATGCAATGGCAAGACCGAAAGGATTTGTGGCCATGGTGGAGTGGTCAACCCACCGTATTTGCCGTGTTCAAGTGATTCAATCGTGCATGCCATGAGGGTAATGAGGGTAGAGCATTGCTCAGAGCTCCCCAGTGTTAGCAAATCTCGCCAGAAAGGAGGGCTGCAACGGTGTCCATGTCAAATGTCTATAAGTCAACTTGATGCAATTCACGTTCTCTTTAGCACGTCTATTGTACCACCGAAGTTAGAGCGCACTCTTGAGTACAAATACACAAATCCACATTGCCAAAGCATCTGAAAACTTGCAACAGAGTTTGCACTCCTCAATTCGCTAGTTTTGCAGCCTTCTGTTCACGGCTTCTAGCGACCAACTTTCCCATATCGAATCGTCTTTCACAAACTTCTCCCACACTCCTCGTGGACAGCCAATTTGCTTCCCTTCACTTCTACCTGCTGCGGAGACTCTAGGTGGACATCCTCCAGGCGTATAGCAATTTCGTGACCAAACAGAGCATCAAGCTCTTCCAGAGGCACATTTTTGGTCTGTCACTGTCAGCATTTGTCAGTGCGAGAGTAGTGGCCACAGCAACCTTACCTCGGGGAGAAAGAAGTAGACATGGATAGCGCCACAGAAACTGAGGATGATGAAGACCAAATAAAACTTCCAAGAAATGGTATTCATGGCTGTAGGAGCGACGTTGAGCCAAAGAGTCTGCATCAAATAGAGCCCGCTAATGCAGAGACAGCTGGCCAGCGTGCGCAAGTGGTTGGGGAAGATTTCGCTCACGACGGTGAACTGATTGTTGTCGAGACAAGCTCCAAATCTTGGGAAGAGAGAGGTATCAGTAAGCTTTACCATTACAGAGAAGGTCGTGACTTACGGAAGAGCGGTAATGTAGAGAAAAGTCACTGCGGGCACAGCATACTTGTTGTCCTGGGTGTCGAGGAAGTATTTGAGACAGGCTGTGAAGATGGCGAGCGAGATAGCCAGCCCAATGAAGCCGATTACTTGTCAGATTAGCACAGAGTCCGTAACGTAGTTTGGAAGACGCCTCACTCAAAGACAGTCGGCGTCCCATGCGATCGACAGTCACATTCCCAATAAGGATGCACACTCCGGTCCAGGAGATCCAACCCGAAGTCGACATCAGTGCCTCAGCGGTACTAAGACCTAGAGAGCTGTACAGCATGACACCGTAATCTTGAAGCATTTAGCGGTAGACTCATATCCCTTCTCTGGATTTGAGAGGCTTACTGTAGATGACCAGGAAGCCGCAGCTCTGTGTGAAGCATACCACGCCAAAGCCAATCAACAATCGCTTCCTGTATGCAGCTTGGACAAAGAGCGCTTTCCATCTTCCGTGCTTGGCCACTTCCACAGCGTCGGCTTCGCTCTGTAATTTGATCTGCTCAAACTCTCGTGCCGCAATCGTCTCGTCATGAGAGGTGGCGGCTCTGTGCAGGTTCTGCAAAATAATGTATGCTTCGTCCAACTTTCCGTAGCGCACCAACCACCTAGGACTCTCTGGCACTGCGAAAAAGGTCAGTTTGGTCCGCAGTTTCTCAGTTGGATTCGGTTAGCATGTCTTACGAAAGAATGATACAACAAGGAAGATGAGTCCAATCAGGACCGACAGGGAGACTGGAAATCTCCAACCAAATGTCCCGATCGTAGAATAGAAGCATCCGACCCCGATCCACGAAGCGGCAACAGCTCCAAGCTCGATTAACAGGGCATGAAGGCCTGTATTCAAGCCCCGAGTCTTCGGCAAGCTGATCTCAGAGTAGTACGCCACCATGGCGGCCGATGTCTGTCCCGTTGCAAATCCACAGAGGAACCGCGAGACCGTGAACTAAATTATGCCCAAGCCGGTATCAGCTTAGACTGAACGCCCTCACAGCAAGAGGCAGTTCTACGTACCATAGCTTGGTTCATGGAGGCGGTCTGAATCACAGCACCGACGACGTGTGAGAAGGCCGCAATCTGGAATCCACGCAAGCGGCCCCAGACCTCGGATGTCCAGGCAGTGAAGAGGGTTCCAATGAACCCCCCTGCGAAGAAGATACCTCCAAAGACGGAGATCATGTCGGTGCCATGTTGACTTGACGGATCCAATTTCATCGTGACATAGAACTCCGCCTGGCCCAGCTGATTGGACAAAAGAGCCTGGGCATAGCCAGTGAGGAGCGAGCCTGTCATTGCTCCAATGAGCACCTTTACGCCAACGGATGGTCAGCACAACTTGGAACCGCCCACGCGTCGAACACCAACGAAAGCGGACGTACCGAAGTGATGCTGTAACCCATGATGGAGTCACTGAACGTTTGAATATAGGACTTCGCTGTCAAACATCTGGAGTTTATTGTCGGGAAACGCGATGATTGTTATGGGTGTTTGCCTATTTCTATCAGTGGCGATGTAGCCGACTTGCCGTCTGGGGAGCCACGCAGCTTTTTCTGGGGAAACCAGCTATGGTGGAGTCCCCCACGAAGTGTAAGCATCCTGTCCCGGCTTTTCGGCTTTTTCCTTCAAAACCAATCACGATCACACATGGTATCGGCTCCGGTGGGCTGAACCCTTGGCGTACGAGAATCCTTGGCCTCCACCACATGGCGGCGGACGCAAAGCCTCAATACGGGAACCGGATTGATCTCTCTGCCGGCTCGGCACCCTGTATCTTTGGCACAGACCTTCAAGCGAGACCAGACCGGCTTGCCAGAAAGCACCAGATAGTAGAGCTGTCGAGGTACGCATTGTGTGGTTTAGGGTATGTGGAGAAGTGCGAACTAACAGTGTAATCTTCCTCCGGTTCTGACCGTAACCCTCTTTGAAATATAGTATCGAAGCTCTGAGGAAACTCGACCTCAGATCGCTAGGCAAATCGTGTCTACTCGTTTACCTATTCGTCACCTGTAGGTAGTTGTCTATTATATTTACTTTGGAGCCTAGAGCATGGCTCTAGGCATTTGCTTCATCGCCCGTCGTACTCCCAGATCTGCTAAACCCTCCTCAGCGCCCCCCCAACAGGGCGTCATATTTACAAGTCCTATAAAACATCTCGACAACCTTTCCCAAACCAGACGGGGTGAGACCGCGGCCACCGAAGATATTCACTGCATCCTCGGTAATATCCTGGGCACAGCGAGTCACGTAAGACTTGAGAAGGGCGATCGGCCCTGCGAGTACAGTAGATTGCTCTTTGTACTCCATCGAGTTCATCTGATAAGTGACCGACTCTAACCAGCTCTGACATGCTTCAGTCATGGATATCATTCGGGCTAACTTCTGTCGGATAACAGGCTGATCGACCAGTAATTTACCAAAGACGCGCCGTTGATGTGTCCATTTGAAACATTCTTCCGTGATCCTTCTCATCCACCTAGTCGTGAAGCAGATCATGGAGAACCTTTCGTGATTAAAGTTGCTCATTATCACTTTTAGACCTTTACCTTCTTCACCCAGTAAATGGTTAGCCGGCACCTTGACGTCGTCAAACTCCACGAGAGCCGTCCCGGCGGTTATCCCGTATGCCATCTTGATGGGTCTAGTCTGGACGTTTTCGTCTCGAGGAATCAAGAGTAGCAGAGAATACGTCTTCGCTTTTGCAGCCCGTGACCAAATAGTCAGCAAACATGCCATTCGTGATCCACTTCATGACTCCGCTGACGATGTAGTACTGGCCGTCGCTTGATTTCGTCGCTGTCGTCTGGATCCCACTCACATCCGAACCGGCGAAGGGCTCGGTTATGGCCAGACAGATGAAGTTCTGCCCTGAAAGACACTCCTGACTCATTTTGTCGCGAAGTCGTGGGTCTGCTGCCCATTGTCGTATCGCTGTTAGACCTATAGCCAGTCCTGCCACATTAGCATCTTGAAAGCCTCGAGCTACGGCTCTAGATAACTCTTGTGACAGGATGAGCTCGTGGAAATAGTCAAACTGGTCACCAGGAAGAAAGTCCATTAACGTGAGGTTGTGAAGGTCAACACCAGGGCCCAATCGCATCGCAAGGATATTGTTTTGTGCCATCTTGCCGATCGGCTCCTTGGAGACGTATGTTCCATCGGATTCTTTCTGCTGCGCTTCGGGGTACATATGTACATCCACGAAGTTTCTGACAGCGTGGAGGAAAGTCAGGTGCGATTTGTTGTAGTACGAACTTCTGTATAGACGATTTAACCAGATGGGCTCGGCATAGGGTACTTGAATCAAGCCACCAGGGGCACTGTAGACAAGGGAAGGTTTGTGGCCCCTAATCTCGCCGATGCAGAGATCATGATATTTCTGAAGAACTTCATGGCGGTGGAGGCCGTAGAACGCGTCGGTTGCATCGGTACCAGCAACTCGTCGTAGTACGACTGATCCCCCCTGGATGTGCATCGGCAAAGTCTGTAAGGTCGTAGACCTTTCCATCGATAATGCACCAATTCGAATGGATCGTGTTGTTCTGAGCCACCTTTTTGGTGGTGAAGGTACGCCTGGGAACTTCCATTTCTGCTGGTCTGGAGAATATGATGCAGTGAATAGCGATACCTAGAGACTCTGAGATTCGCAAACGATCAAATAGTCCCCCTTCTACAGGCAACCGACACTGTGCAAAACATATTGAGCAAAGTTTAGGACCTTCCCTGCTAGCAAAAGTGCCTGAGAAGATTTAGAAGCAAGACAGTAATCATCATCCTGTAATCATTTTGAACTTGGTTGTCTATCTGAAATCGTAATTTACTAGCAATCGCTTCTTCTTGGGAGTATCGGGCCGCCAAAGTGCTGACCTCAAGCACACTTTACCGACCCCGAAATGGCGGAGTCTACAGTAACAGCCGCATAAGGCACAGTTGTCATAATCACGGATACTCTCCTTTGCTCGATCATCTATAGCTACTGACGGGGCATTTGGGCTTTGTCCCAAGCCCGGAACAACTGGTCTAGACGTGTATCAACCGAAAACCCGCCATGGTTGGATGAGATGGCCCAATCACCGAGTAGCCGAACAGCCTTCATAGATAATGCTACTAGCTCCATGGGAATATGCGACAGTCCGAGAGTAAGTGTGTTATTACCGGAGTCGAGAATACTGTAAAATGTTTTAGTTTATGAGTCGATTGAAAAAGGAACCCCCTCAGTAATAGTGGTTACCCAGTCTCAACAATTGCCCCTTTCTACGAACGAGTTTAGTTACGGATTTGGCAAAATGGTTTTCGCAGGGCAACTCCATTTCTCCCAATTTAAAGCACCAATTATCCCCCGTGCCATCGATGACCCTGGACGAAAACTTAGGGTGGTTACTGTTGGTGCCGGCATCTCTGGGGTGACGACTGCCATCAGGCTGCCGCAACATCTAGGCAAGCACGTTGATCTTCAGATATATGAGAAAAACTCAGGTACGGATATTTTTGTGCCATAGTGCTTTGACGGACACACAGCTGACAATCGAGGCTTGAGATAGACATTGGAGGCGTTTGGCTGGAGAACAAATACCCTGGGGTTGCTTGTGACATCCCAGCGCCGTGCTTCCAATTTCTTTTCGAAAACAATCCCAACTGGTCCAAATACTATGCCAGTGGCCAAGAGATCTGTAACTATGTTCAAGGGGTTGCTCAGAAGTTCGGTGTTCGGAAGTACATGAAATTCAATCACCGCGTCACCAACGCCGAATGGAATGAAGAACAAGGCAAATGGCACCTCATGATCAAAGACCTGACAACCGACAAGGTAATCGACCACACACCTCGAGCTTGTCCCAGTGAAAACTGATTGCTTCGCTCTAGGAGTTCCCAGACGTAGCCGATGTGTTGGTCCTGGGGTGGGGGATGTTGAACAACTGGGAATGGCCTAGAGTCAAAGGTCTCCATAGCTTCAAAGGACCATACATGCACTCGGCGAACTACGACACGTCCTTCGATCCCACGGGCAAAAGAGTAGCTGTGGTAGGTGGCGGGTCCACTGGGATCCAGATACTTCCACACATCCAAAAGGTTGCCAGCCATGTAGACCATTACATGAGGTCTCGCAACTGGATTGCACCGATTGGGTTCGGAGCCATTGAGCTGGAGAAACGAGAAGCGCTTAGTGAGGGCAACTGTAAGTCTTGCTTGACTGGAGAGCACATGAAGCTATGGCGACCTGACTGTTCGTGCGATAGTCGCCTATACCGCCGAAGAAAAACGGCTCTTTAATAGTAATCCGGATGAGTGCCACCGACACCGTCGAGAGGTCGAAGAGGCCATGAATGACTACATGACAGAATCTGGCTTTACCTACGGCACACCGAGACAGCAGGCCATTCAGAAGTTGTTTGATGAACACATGAAGAAGATGCTTGAGACCAAGCCGGAGATTTTGGAATCGATGCTGCCCAGCTATCCGCCCGGCTGTCGGCGCCGTAAGTACGGTGGAGACCTCTGCAGGACTATGGGCTGACGGGCTAATTAGTGACTCCTGGCCCCGGATATCTGGAGGCACTTGTACAACCCAACGTCAACTTTATCAACAAAGAGATTGATCACGTGGAAGAAAAGGGTATTGTTACTGAAGACGGTGTACTCCATGAGGTGGATGCTATCATCTGGTGCACAGGATTCAACGTGTAAGTGTCTCACTCATTGCCAAGCGACTTCCAGTTTACTGACATTCATGTCCTCGCAGAGATTTTGTCAGTCGATTCCCTATGAAGGGTCGTAATGGCGTCACTTGGGATGAAGTGATGGACCCAGAGCCAGAATGCTATCTCGGATCTATTCCGGACCAGATGCCGAACTGCCATCTCTATATGGGACCGAACTGCGGAGCCGGCGCCGGAGGATCCTACATTGTGATCGAAGGCGAATGTGAACTCCTGGTATCTTGTCTCAAAAAGATGCTGAGGGAGAAGATCAAGTCCATGAGCATCAAGCCGGAGCGTCTGAAGCAATACGTGGCCCATGTCAACTCCTACCTTTCAACCTCGATTTTCGGCCAACCATGCAAGTCATGGTTTAAACGCGGCAAGGAAGAAGGGCGCAACCTCGCTTATTACTGCGGCAATGCTTTGAATCTCCTGTATGCTCAGCGACATCCCCGATGGGAAGATTTCGACTATACCTATCTGGATGAGATGGAGGGTAACCCCATGTCATGGCTAGGGAACGGCTATACGTTGGCTGACTATTCTGGTGGAAGTCGGACCAATTATCTCGATCCGGAAGAGATTGATTTTCCTCCGCTGCCAACAGAAGAGGAGGCGGAAGGGAAGAACGCGTCAGTGGACGATATGCCGCTCCGAGCGAAGCCGGTCGTGGGTGCGAAGTACAGTAACATGCGGCCCTTGAACAGCGTAGCTTCACTGCCTCATCAATCCGCGGACACGACCACCAGGTCTGCAGGCGCCGTACTGTTTGGTCGAGCCTAGACAGTTACAGAAACGGGAGACTTGGATTCAATCTGCTTGTGTTCTGTCTCATTACTTTCAAGTAAAAATCAACTTTTCCTGCCTTTTCCGCTTTCTTTTTTTTTTCCCCTGGAAGAACAGGATATGATGTAAGCCACGGCTGCTGGTAGATTGTGATACTGGACGAGGAGCTACCCTAGCAATCCATGAAGCACCCTTTTGCTCCTAGAAAGCTGTGGCGCACTTCCCCGTACTCTATACCTTCAGCATGTGGGCGGGGGTGGAGGTCTGCCGCTCCCTCCTCCGCAGAAGCCCCCTGTGACCCACTCCTGGACTTTCCGGATTTAGCTAGCTCCTAGCATTAAGCCGACTGCCTGTCCCTTGACCACCCTTCGCCAAAGACTTTGGCAGAAAATCATCACGTAATGATGACTTATAAGCGGAGACCCAAGGCGCGCAGGCTGTGTCGAGATCCAAGATTGATGTGTTTCATCAATTCGGAGGCGGGTTGAAAGAAACCAATATCCAAATATCAAAGTGATAATCAGCCAGCAGTCCAGATAGACTCAAAGCGAGTTCGTTTTGACACTTGCTCAAAAGAAAGGACTGTTCGAGAATCGTAGAACCACCAGGCCTGATTCAACCAAGCTGTGGAGGATGGATGGGAACGATGGGGACTATATTCTCAGACCTTGACGGTCTTGTTCAGGTCATTGGCCCTGTCTACATCGTTGACGGCGGCTGTGTGTTTGGTGGACCGATGTACATCAATTAACCCCATTCCAACTTCTATCGTCCACCCAGTGGCAACATGTGGTAAGATTGCTTTTCTTGTTTCGACTTTTCGCGTTGTGATGGCGAGTTACTTGGAGTGCACCGACCACCAACTTAACGGAGAAGGCTCTTCGGCACCTGCGTCGTCCAATATTGCCAAGTTGACCTTGCAGAGCGCTGCATGGTATAGTTCTCTGATGCACTCCATCTTTCAGATCCATCGGTAACCTGGCACCCTGGAGCATGGAGGTGAGTTAAGCTTTTCTCCTGTCCACAAATTCGTTGCAATTTTCCGAGATACCGAGATCCCGGTACTCCGGAAAGCTTCGAAGTGTGGATATATACCTTATGGAATATGGCGCACTACAACGACGACATAGCCAGTACATCTACTACCGACAAGCTGGGCGGGAGGACTTTACATTGATTTGTCCAGAGCAGTGACTGCACGTGGACCATGAAGACGGAGAGCTCTAATATCGTGGCAGGTGAGGTTCGCGCTGCCGCGGCGCAATCGGCCAAGAGGGCGAAGAAAACCCTCACCCTGTACAACGTCGCGATTCTGTGCTATGTTGGTCTAGGATCTGCAAGTTATGGATACGCGGCCGCGGTCATCGGGAATACTGTGGGTATGTGGCCTCTTGGAGTCATTTCATTCCCCCCCTCCTGACTTACACTTCTTCGCAATGCAGGACAACCCTCGTTCATTCGATACTTTGACCTCGACACAAGGAGCAATGGGGATGGCCTTATTGGTGCCATGAATGGCCTGTTTCAAGCCGGCGGGTTCTTCGGCGCCTTGATAACACCCTGGATCAGTGATCGGTGGGGACGGAAATCGGCGATCGCCTGGGTAGGTTTGATCTTTCTTTTTGCCCCCTGGAACAAGGGTAGACTGCTCACGATGACTTCAGGGTGCTGTATGGTGTATCGTATCGGGAGCATTCATGGCTGGCAGCGTCAATATTGGTGAATTCATCCTTTTCCGCTTCATCTCCGGCCTTGGTGCCAATCTGTTGCTGGCGGCCGTACCGGTAAGTGCTTTCGATACCTGGAGAGAAGACTTTATTTTCTGACCGCCCGATAGATATGGATGAGTGAGGTTGTCCCCGCTCATTTCCGCGGGAGTTTGGTCTACATTCACAGCCTCGCACTCGGTTTCGGATACCTCTTGTCGGCGTGGATCGGGTTCGGCTTCTTCTTCTGGAAAACCGGAGGGTCCAACACCTGGCGACCGCCCCTGGCTCTGCAATGTGTCTGGCCTCTCTTGCTACTTCTAGGGTTGTACTGGATCCCAGAGAGTCCCCGGTGGCTGGTGATGAAGGACCGTTCTGATGAAGCGAAGCGGATCTTGCTGAGACTGCACGCGAATCCCGAAGATCCGGATAACACGTTTGCAAACACGGAATTTTATCAGATACACGAGCAAATAGCCTTGGACCGCCATCGGGATAGCTCATGGAGGCATTTGTTCCGGAAGCCGTCGTTCCGGAAACGTTGCCTGATCGCCATGGGAACTACGGCCATCATTGAATGTTGCGGCGGACTGGTCATCAACAGTAAGTAACTTGGATCCAAGGGATGCCTCTCCTGTTACCACCCAAAAACGTATAAACTACAGAACTGATGGATTTTGTTCTAGACTACGGACCAATTCTGTATGCAAATCTGGGGTTCAGTCAGACCAAGCAGCTCCTGTATCCGGCTGCGTGGCTTACCTTTGCCACGGGGATGAACGCCGTGGGTGTCTTCATCGTCGATTTCTTTCCCCGAAACAGGCTGTTGGCCTTTGGTGTTCTGGGTTGTGTGTCTGTTGTCACCATCGAAGCCGCCATTGTGGCCAACTTTGTCCCATCCAACAACCACGCCGCCCTGAGTGCCGCCGTGGCGGTCTTGTTCTTGTTTGAACTCTTCTACGGACCTTCTATCGCTGGTATGTCTTTGTGTGATGGGTACACCCCACCCCCCAAAAAAAAGCCAAGCTAACGCGCAACGCATTCAGGCACTCAATTTTGCTATCTCGGCGAGATATTCCCGAACCACGTCCGCGCAAAGGGCGTAGCATTGGGCGTTTCAATGATTTCACTGATGAACGTCGTTTGGCTCCAAGCCGCACCAACCGCCTTCAAGTAAGGACATGGACGCGCCAGCCAGCTCTCCCGTCTGGATCTTTGTGAGGCACCAAGCTAATTCCATCTGCAGGACTATCGGATGGAAGTACTATCTGTGCTTCATCATCACCGGCGGCCTAGGTGGAATCGTCATTCTGTTCTACTGGCCCGATACTCGTGGGATTCCCCTGGAGGAGATTGGGGTTCTGTTTGGAGACGAGGCAGAAATCGCCGTTTTCCAGGCCGATATCCAGCTGGACCACGACACCAAACAGATCACAACGCACCATGCCACTGTAAAAGTCGATGAGGCATAGTCTGTACATTTCAGGAGGCGTGATCCCGGTGGCTACTGCTGCCCGTACTACAAGAGCACTGAAAAGCGGTACGGCCTCTTGGGGACTCCAAGCACCGGCAGTATTATTGTCTCTGTGAAGGCTTGTATATCTAGCAACACCTCTATGACTGACGGGGTTACCCACAAAGGCAAATGTGATGACGGTCACGCTAGGCTCTCCGACCGAAGACTACTGGACGGCACTAGTAACCCCTCGTCTAATTAATCAATGGTATATAGTCTTCGCTATGTTGCTGCACTGAGTCACACGAGATAAGTTACTCTCCTGTATACGTGAGTGGACTTTGGTCCGCTTCAACATGATCGAAGACGACGAGTACAGGGCGTCTTCCCAGTATCGATGTTGGTCATACACCGAGGAAAAGCTCGCGCAAATCCGCCAGAGGACGAATCGGCTGGCATCGGAGCGCGTCAGGGCCGCAATTCGAAAGACGGGGGTTCCAATACCAGGCTCGAGTGAGAACAACGAGAATACATCTGCTGATCCCGCTCCCGGTGTCCCGACGCTTACCGCGCAGGAGGAGTTGAAGATTGTGGAATGGGCTTGTACCAAGATTATCGATATGGGAGAGGCCATGCACCCGAGAATCCCTTCCAGTGTTGTGGTACGCACGGTTCCTTTTCATGCCCTCTGACGATGTTACCGTGACGAGATATACTTACACTACACATCAATGCCCCTAGGCTACCGCGATTCAATACCTCCGCCGCTTCTACCTCACACATTCACCGATGATGTACCACCCCAAGCCGATCATGGTCTGCGCTCTATATCTAGCCACAAAGGCAGATCACTTTTACATGTCTCTTCCCAACTTCGTTTCGGAACTCGAAAACTTGACAGAAGAAGATGTCAAGGCGCCTGAATTCCTTCTTCTGCAGGGTCTCCGATTCACGCTCGACGTGCGCCACCCTCTGAAAGGTCTTAGGGGTGGCCATGCTGAGATGATGGCCATGGTACAGGAGGGTCGTCTCGGTAGCAATTGTCCAAAAACGACGAATTTCACGGCAAAAAGAGTCGATTCTGCTGCCGATTCGGCAAAGGGACTCCTCACCAGAGCAGCCCAGATGACGGACGCATATTTCCTCTACACGCCCAGCCAGATCTGGCTTGGTGCCATGATGGTGGCTGATGGTGAGCTCACGCAAGCATATCTCGAACAGAAACTCAACGATCTGCCCTTTGACGATGTAACGGCGGCGGCGACATTCAAACACAGAGTCTTGAGCACGATTTCAGCATGTGCGAAGCTGCTTGGTTCCTATCATCGCTCGCAGGAAGACTCATCGGCGCAGCGGAAAGAGCTGACGCGGATCCGCAAGAAATTAGCTGTGTGCCACGATCCAGAAAAAGTGGATATTGATGCCGTCGTCAAGATCAGCGCTGGGAGATTGTCTGAAAAGAGGGATAGCTACGGCAGTGACGCGGAGAAGGCGCTCAAGAAGCGTAAGGTTGCACGGAGCGAAGTTGAATGAAAGATGGGAAACGTCTTTGACCATGAGCTGAAAAGCCTTTCCGGGTTAAAAGTTCTGTGGTACGAGAGACTTGGTTAAGTGATTGTAGTGGGATAATATTATGAGCTCCTTGGACGTGAAATAGTCAAACATATACATATTCGAAAGAGGGATAGTGGGAAAGGAGGGGAGGGGGTGAGTACCCACAGTCGATCAACTACCATCTGCGACTCAACGTCGACCCATAATGCTGGCCTACGAATTACCTCGCCTTGACAAGAGAGCTGACCACGACCGCATCATGCCCATCGACACATGGCTATCTTGCACGTGCCGCGTCGCCTGGCAAGCCTGTCTCAACGTGCAACCCGGTTTCTACCCCGCGTTGGGTAACCGGCCGGTCGGTCACACCGGTTAACCTCTTCTTTTCGCCAAAGACCCTCGGTTGGTGGTGTTGGCTCGTCCGTGTGATCACGTAAACGCGACTGGTATCCATGATCTTGCTGGCTTTATAGATCTGGGGGCGACAGAGTCGCAGTATCCCGTATCCAGTATCCAGCATCATCCTCCTGCTCTTTCTCCAGATATCTTGTTGTATACACCGGTCGTGGTAGTTAGCAGCAACGATGAGCACTCTCAATGGAGACGCACGTAGCAGTGCCCCCGTATGTCTCGTCACCGGAGGCGCCTCGGGCATGGGCCTTGCGGTTGTGCAGCATCTCTTGACACAGGGCTGGAACGTAGCTATCGTCGACTACAACGCCGAAACCGGGCAAACTGTCGCCAAACAATGCGGGCCCCAGGCCCTCTTCATCAAGGCCAACGTGGCCGACTACGAGGAGCTCGCGGCCGCGTTTGCTCGGACCTGGAAGGAATGGAAGCGCCTGGACGTGGTGTTTGGGAATGCTGTAATACCTACCTACCTCTACCTTCTCTCCCCCTCCCTCCTTGACAAAGAGAGAGCGCGCGCATGGTGTGTAACAGTCCTAATGATGAGAGAGGGGAGCCTGTATAGGGAATCGGCGACCGGATCAACTTCTACGCGCACCAGCAAGACCGCGAAGACGGCAACCCCCCCAAACCCAACACGGCCGTCATCGACATCGACCTCTACGGACCCATCTACTGCGCGTACCTGGGCTTCCACTACTTCCGCAAGAACCCCGACAAGGCCGGCAAGATCATCTTCACGTCCAGCATGGCGGGAATTTACACCGGGGGCACTGTCCCGCTGTACTCGGCGGCGAAGTCGGGGGTAAGGTCTTCGGTTTCTTTTCGTGTGTTATTCTTCTTTGAAGAGTGTTGAGGATGAGAGTGAGAATGAGAACGAGACTTACATTTTTTTTGGCAGGTCGTCGGATTGACGAGATCCTTGGGCGTCCGACTCAAAGAACTCGGCGAACCCATCACCGTGAATTGCATCTGTCCAGGTCCGTAACTTCTCCCAGTCCATGTCGCACCTTCCAAAAAACAAAGCCTTGCCGATATGGAATACCTCACTCACGCATGCTGGCAGGCCTTGTCCACACGGCTCTGACGAAGATCTACTCCTTCACCTGCCCGGAGGAATACATCACGCCGGCCTCGACGATCGTCAAGGCGGTTATGAATTTCATCGACGACGACAGCTTGACGGGGCAGGCCGCGGAATGCAGCGGCGAGAACATCCATTACAGGCAGAGGCCCGAGTTTAGCGACGACAAGGCCGCCTTCATCTGTGGCGGTGGGTTGGGAGAGGCCATGGAGAAGTTGAATGTCAGGTTCTACTGATTGTTCCGTATCTGTACCACACCAGTTCCGCCCATTCTGGTTCTACGACCGGAAAGGATAGGTTGGTTTGATGATGAAGCATACAAACCGTGGTAGAGATGGTTCTGAGTATCTCATGTGTCTATCTGAAAGGGCCGCCATGGCTGTAGCTAGTACAATGAAATGGAAAGCAATTGCATTCTGTTTCCAAAGGCTCAACAGTGATGCACCACGTTCATGACTTCAAATCGGCACTTCATTTCGTCATTGATCAAAAGTATCTATTCAATCTCAGAAGATTATCAACACAAGACATCAAGAACAAAGAAGGCACCCCAAAAAGAAAAGGATCCAAGCACCGGAACAAGTCTAGGCACCATTAGATTCGGGCCAAAAGGTGGGTTCGAGACCCTCGAGCTTGCCAGCCTCGCGCCACTCCTTCATCATGTTGATGACCCACAGCGCACTGCCGCCGTACCACGAGTTCTTGGCCAGCTTGCGCGTGATCTGGCCCTCGTTGTTGTAGTAGCCCGGCGTGCACTCCATGTGGAAAGCCCTCGAGTTGATGCCGGACTCGACGATGGTCTCGACCCACGCGTCCTCGGCCTCCTGCGAGGGCTCGACGGAGCGGATGTTGCGCTTCTTGCACTCGGCGATCACGTAGGCGAGGTGCTCGGCCTGGAGCGTGGTCGTGTGCAGCAGGTTCGCCGTCACGAACGCCTGGAGCGTCGTGACCATGAAGAAATTGGGAAAGTCCCGGCTCACCCAGCCTTGAAAGGTGCTGGGCCCGTCCGAGAACTTCTCGCCCAGGACCTTGCCGTCGCGCCCGTACACCTCCATGCCGGCACGGTGGCTCCAGCTGGTGGCGCGCTCAAAGCCCGTCGCGTAAATTAGGCAGTCGACCTCAAACTCCTCCCCGTTGGCCACCACGCCTTTCTCCGTCAGCCGTTCTATCCCTTGGCCTTTGGTGTCGACTAATTGGACGTTGGGCCGGTTGAAGGCCGCGAGGTATTCGTCGTGGAAGCACGGCCGTTTGCAGAATTGGTTGTAGTACGGTTTCAGGCTCTCCGCCGTGGCAGGGTCGCGAACTATGGCGTTGACACGCTTGCGAATCTGCTCCATCTTCTGGAAGTCGAGGATCTGGCGCCGTTTCGCCATCTCCTCTTTCCCCATACTCCCCGCTGCTGCTCGAGATGGGTATAGATTGCGAATGATATCTGTCCAACCGTCGTCGACCAGATCGACATCTTGGTGCCCGCCGCACACGATGGTGTTGAAGTTGTCCATTCGCTCCTTCTGCCATCCTTGTCCGAGTTTCTTCGCCCAGTCGGGATCAGTAAGTCGGTTGTTCCGGACATCGATGGACGAGGGCGTCCGTTGAAAAACGTAGAGTTGCTTGCACCAGGGCGCAATGTTTGGCACGATCTGGACGGCAGTGGCCCCTGTGCCGACAATCGCAACCTTTTTATCCGTGAGATTGTCTAGTCCCCCTCCGACAGCATCGCCGCCAGTATACTTGTAGTCCCAGCGACTAGAGTGGAAGCTGTGGCCTTTAAAGGTCTCAATACCCGGAAAGCCTGGGAGTTTCGGTCGGTGTAGTGACCCGGCAACGCCGACAACGAAGCGCGCATGGATATTGTCGTTGTGATTCGTCTTGATCGAGTAGGTCGCAGTCTCCTCTTGCCAGTGAATGCTCAAGATTTCGGTCTTGAAAATGGCCTTTTCGTACAGTCCCAGTTCTTTGGCCAGTCTCTGTGCATGCGACAGAAGTTCGGGCCCACGCGCATACTTCTCCGAGGGGACGTATCCGATCTCCTCCAGCATGGGCATGTAGACATAGGACTCGATGTCGCATTGTGCTCCGGGATATCGGTTCCAATACCTAGAAGAAGCACAAAGGTCAGAGAAACTGGAAGCAGTCGCAATATAGCAGCAGTAGGAATAGCAGCAGCACCAGCAGGAGTGATATGGGGGCTTACCAGACTCCCCCAAAATCTGCGCCTTTCTCAATAATTCTGAAATCTTGGATGCCATTCTGCTGAAGACTGTGGGCCATCAATTCTCCGCCGTATCCAGCACCGATGATGACCACTTCAGTGGTGAGGTCCAAGGGCTCCCGCTTGTCGTCCTGGCCAGTCCATGGATCACTGAGGTAGTGCGACAGCGAGCCTTCAATTGCACGATACTGGTCCACTCCATTGGGGTTGGCACGGATACGTTTTTCCCGTTCGGCGAGGTATTTTGCCTTGAGGGCATCTGGATCGAACCCCAGGTCGTCCTCGACCTCTTGGACTGTGAGATTGGTGGACTTGCCAAGGATCGACTCCGCGGGCTGAGACACAGAAAGCGTTTCGACAGACATCTTTGCTTCCAGGGAAAGACGGGCCAAAATGGTCTTACAACGGTAGAAGAGTGCCGCGCACACACCAGAAATATAACACCACTCTCTCCAAAAGAACCCCCCGGGTTCGGAAGCCCTCTTTGGGGGGAAAAGAGATGGAGCACGAACGTCTTAACCGTGTACATCCTCGGGGTTGACAAAACAAGCAATGCCAATGATCCGTACCTCGTAATACTCGGCAGGTTGCCGTACTCGGTAGATAGCCGTATCAGCGGTCTTTTATCCCCGCCGGATTCAACCTCATTAATTCTTTACCAAGGCCTGAGCCTCGGCAGGAACATTGAGCAGATATAAAAAAGTAGTAGGGGTAGCTCTACTGGACAACCAATAGTTTGAGCCTTGAACAGGCCATGGGCCTGCAAAACAAGCATGGAAACAAGAGAATATACCTGAGAAGCATTGCATGGGTGTCTTTGAGGACTGTTGACTCCACTGTCGGTTTGGGGACTTTGTGGATACGTATCATATGTGGACGTCTGCCTCCACACTCAGTCCCCAGAAAATGATACGATGGAGACGATGTCTGCGCGTGGACGAGGTCATGTGTAAAGACTTTTGAAAGTGATGATCCATTTGCCGTCCTCGGCCCTCGGGATGCCCACTTAATGAGAGAAGCTTTCTCCTTAGCTAGACGGAAACTCTCTTAGAACGCGCAGTCACATTCGCTCGGAGGGTGGGAGCCTTGGCTTGCCTCGGGATGATGTGCATGTTCCTGTGGAAGCACGAGAAGGGTAGAATGAGGAAAGGGTCGGGAGGACAAAGGAAAATATGCCAATGACAGTCGGTCATGCTAACGATTGTGTTCGAATTTGATATGTGACAATGTTGATTGGGATTTCTGCGCTCCAGACTTTTGCGGCCTCTAACCAATTCTATAGCCGTATCAATAGCATCAATGTCGAATCCCAGCTCAAGCTAGACCGCCTCGCCCCCCAACGCTTGACAATGCCTTGCGCTGTATATCCGATACCGTCACCTCTGGCAAACTCTTAACACCATCCTGGTCTCTCCCAGCATTTGGAGGTGGGAGAAATCCGATCTGAACCAAATAAGCCAGATACAGCCCGATCTCACGCTTTGTGACACCACTTCCCGCACTGACGTCTTCTCGAGTCCATTTCTCGTCGGCGTAAAGTGCCTTCTCGGCATTGCTGTCATCGAGTTCTGGGGCGCGTGTATTCGAGGGGAGATCGTTCGCGACAAAGGTAAAGAGTGGCATTAGAGCAAAATCGGCGTGTGCGCTGACGTAGTGCTCAAGCGAAGATGCCCAAGGGACGTAATCCGTTAGGTCCACCTTGTATCCATAGGTTTGAAGAGCTGCGAGATATTGGTTGAACCGCAGTCTCGGGTGCCCTGTAATCTGAGCCACACTGACTCCTTGAGAAGACGGAGGATGGAAAGCACATGCCACCACCGTGCGAGCGACATGGTCCACCGGAACCATGTTCACCGTGTTGTTAATATTAGGCCGCGTACCGAGCTGTATGCAGCCCTTGAGCATCCGAATCAAAAAGTCGTCCGTGTTTGTGACGCCAGTCTTGGAAGAGCCAAGCACATAACCGGGCCTAACGATGCAGCCACGGAGGCCTCGTCGACCAGCTTCGCGACAAAGATATTCCGCTACCCATTTGCTCTGGCCATAGCCGGTGCCTAATCCTTTTCGACTGCCCATCAAGTCATCGTCTTCACTGATACCTTCTCCACCGGCGGCGACGATGCGTTCTGATTCGAAGACAAAGTGTTCGTGGTCGAGCACGCTGGTTGAGGACACGAACCCAAAGAATTTGGGTTTACCTTGGGCGCAGATCTTCATGGTTTCAATAGTGCCGAGAACGTTGGCTGGCTTGAGCATCTCGTATGTATTGATCCAATGAACTTGGGCACCATTATGGATGACAACGTCAACCTCGTCAACAATTTGCTTCCATCTTGTATCGGAAATGCCAAGTTGCGGCGGCCCTAGTTCGCCTGTGACACACTCGATTCGAGATTCCCACGAGTCATCCCAGACACCATAAGCCTGACATGTTGTTTTAATGCGGGAAAGTGCCGCTGCTTCGTCTTTGGCTCTGACCAGAACAAAGATTTTGTTAACTTGAGGGTTTTTGCGGTCCAAAAGATCTTTCAATACGAACGATCCCAAGAAACCTGTTGCCCCAGTAAGGAACACCACCGGCGCCGAAGGCACATTGGGAGAAGCAGAAGGGAATGAGGTAGGCAGCGTCTTGGCCATGATGGGGGCATCATCACCGTATTGATCTTCAGCCTTGACTCCGTTGGATTGAGTGCCATCTGCGGCACTTTCAACCTCAACTGCCTCTCCACCACCCAGAGAATCAGCCGCTCGCAAGTGATCAATGACAGCAGCCATCTCCTTCAGCGTGTGTCGATTATATATCCTGCTGATCGGAAGATTGACTCCAAGTGTTCTTCTGACCTGATAAGCGAGCTGTTGCGCTTTCATACTCTCACCACCAATCGCAAAGAACGAGTCGTTTGGACTGATGGTTCGCGGAATCAATCCTGGGACAAGTTTGGCCCAGATGTGTGCAAGGGCTAGTTCGCCTTCCGTGAGTTGTTGCAACATAGAAGACTTCCGCCGCGTCCGTGCTGAGAGTAT